ACAGAAATGAATTGTAGTGACTGTGATGTCCTCTGACTTTACTGTGGGCCACCAGCAGTTCAAATTTTCACTTTTCCTATGAAATTTCAGCTGATGTGATGGTCCTCTGGCTTTTCTTGTAGCATCACCACAAGACTGGATTTGCGTGAACTAAGAGATGTTTTGCCATGACGTGGTACAGACAATCAGGTCCCCCTCGAGATGAATTGCAATAGCTTGCTGGTATCCACTTATTTTTTTTTATCTAGTTCCATCATCAGGTTACAGTAAAACAGGCAAAAACATTTTGTCCAGGTACACTTTGTGTTTTAGAGCTAAGATAAGACAGATGGTAAACATGTTGCCATTTAAACATCATATAGCATTGCTGTATATGTTAGCATGCTGACATCAGCATTTGTGCAAAGCAACAACTTCTGCCACAGGCTTGGCTTTAAACTCTTAGTCTTGGATTAAGGTTTAATAATAAACATGTGCCTCACTTTTATTTTCTTTGTGTAATTCACATATTGATTTACTTTATATTTACAAAGTAACAAGTGTAGCATGAATATACCACCAATCCTGTGTTGACACCTGCATCGTTGCCCTTTGTCCCATACCATGTGATGGTTTCTGAAAAGAGAATTCAATTTTGACCAGTTCTAATATCTGCCCTCCTGACTCACACACTTAAGTGTGAGGGCTCAGGCTGTCCCACAATAAAATTGAGACTGCTTGAGGACCAGATGTGCTCCGACTCTGTGTTTCATAACCTCCTAATTTACAAGTTAAGCACTGATCATTGCACATGTCCTGTTAATATCCTTAGATGTTTTTAATTTTTCCTACCGTGAAATTTACCACATGAAAGGATAATTACTCTTAGCAGCTTTTATCAGTACGCGTATTTTAACCAAATAATCAATGGACAGTGCTTTGCCAGACCTATTCCACACTTCTATTAGTGTAAACACTGGAAGAAAAATATCCAACAACCACAACAACACACCCACATCATACATAATGATAGGTATAGTCCTAAACATGTGCTGTTGTAGGCCTAAGGCTGAATAGCTTTGATTATTCCTTTGGCCCCAGGAGTAGGCTGCTGTACAGATGCAATATATTAACAGAGGATGTGCATCATTTTACAGTAATACATAGTGAAGTAGGAAAAGTTTTAGCTCCGTATCATAAATGATCTCTGTCCATACTAACGCACTGGAAACGCATATCACATGACCATTCATGCACACTGTACAAGTGCGTGGGTGTGTGTAAACAGGAAGCTGATTGTCTACTCTGCATTCGCTTAGTTGCAGAAAATACACAAATGAATAACAGCAAAAGACAGTATTAGCATTAAAATGCAGAATTAAATGAACAGCTGTTATTGTTTGGTAAAACAACAAGGGGACTTGATAATAGAGCGACTATACGCTCACAGACAAAAATTCAGTTTTCCCACAGCAGTAGCTAACTATCTGGCGTGTTTCATACACTTTACATTCTTACCTTTAAATTTTCTGAATAATGCAAATTTAGCTAGCTTCTAACTTTGGCCCTAAGTTACAATTTAGCTAACTAATGTTAGCTATCTGATAGCGCACCCTTACTTTTCCAATATTGGCTTGGTATTTTATTACCAATACAAAATGCCATATATGATCTAATGTTAGCAAATACTGGTGCTCAGTCATGAGCAGTGAGACAATGGTGAATTAGTTGTTGTACATATACATTGTGACATCAATGTAGAGTTTATTATTTCATGTTAACAGTCTTTATGTGTCTATGGGGGAGGTTTAGGTTAAATACTTTCACATTTTAACACAGTGGTGAAAGCAAAACTGCAGCTCTGGGTGATCATATAATGTGTGAACAGCCTGTATCATTCTTTTATTATAATACCCACTGTCTGTGTTTACATTCTTTCATTAACTGTGGTATATAGAGTGACATTGGGTTAAGCATCTACTTACAGTATACCCAGGTAGATTGTATTTGAACTCATTACCGAACAGGAGATTGCTGTAATTGAGAGCAGTGATTTCATTGTGTAGATGATTCACAGTGGGAGATGTGTGTTATTAATAATAAGAATATTACTGAGCTTTTGTCCAACAATCTCCACCAGCATGAGGAATACAAGCAGCCCATGCTGACCAATCACAGTTCATGTGGTCCCCACATGATATTTCCACCATAGCCATGATGATGAGTTACATTTTTGAGGATGCTCCAGCAGCTTTGCCATATAGCACATATATAGTTACTGTGTGGATAGGTTCCATAGCTACTTCAACATGTGTATCTCACCTGATTCAATACACAAAGGACAGATCCCTGATCATTGTGCAAATAGTGATCTGTGTTTGTTTCATGGTCCCCACAGAATGAATTGTAGTGACTGTGATGGTCCTCTGACTTTTACTGTGGGGCCACCAGCAGTTCAAATTTTCACTTTTCCTATGAAATTTCAGCTGATGTGATGGTCCTCTGGCTTTTCTTGTAGCATCACCACAAGACTGGATTTGCGTGAACTAAGAGATGTTTTGCCATGACGTGGTACAGACAATCAGGTCCCCCTCGAGAGCCTTGCTGGTGATCCACTTATTTTTTTTATCTAGTTCCATCATCAGGTTACAGTAAAACAGGCAAAAACATTTTGTCCAGGTACACTTTGTGTTTAGAGCTAAGATAAGACAGATGGTAAACATGTTGCCATTTAAACATCATATAGCATTGCTGTATATGTTAGCATGCTGACATCAGCATTTTGTGCAAAGCACAACTTCTGCCACAGGCTTGGCTTTAAACTCTTAGTCTTGGATTAAGGTTTAATAATAAACAGTGCCTCACTTTTATTTTCTTTGTGTAATTCACATTTGATTTACTTTATACTTACAAAGTAACAAGTGTAGCATGAATATACCACCAATCCTGTGTTGACACCTGCATCGTTGCCCTTTGTCCCATACCATGTGATGGTTTCTGAAAAGAGAATTCAATTTTGTCCAGTTCTAATATCTGCCCTCCTGGACTCACACACTTAAGTGTGAGGGCTCAGGGCTGTCCCACAATAAAATTGACTGCTTGAGGGACCAGATGTGCTCCGACTCTGTGTTTCATAACCTCCTAATTTACAAGTTAAGCACTGATCATTGCACATGTCCTGTTAATATCCTTAGATGTTTTTAATTTTTCCTACCGTGAAATTTACCACATGAAAGGATAATTACTCTTAGCAGCTTTTATGAGTACGCGTATTTTTAACCAAATAATCAATGGACAGTGCTTTGCCAGACCTATTCCACACTTCTATTAGTGTAACACTGGAAGAAAAATCTCCAACACACAACAACACACCCACATCAGCTTACATAATAGATAGGTATAGTCCTAAACATGTGCTGTTGTAGGCCTAAGGGCTGAATAGCTTTGATTATTCCTTTGGCCCCAGGAGTAGGCTGCTGTTACAGATGCAATATATTAACAGAGGATGTGCATCATTTTACAGTAATACATAGTGAAGTAGGAAAAGTTTTAGCTCCGTATCATAAATGATCTCTGTCCATACTAACGCACCTGGAAACGCATATCACATGACCATTCATGCACACTGTACAAGTGCGTGGGTGTGTGTAAACAGGAAGCTGATTGTCTACTCTGCATTCGCTTAGTTGCAGAAAATACTACAAATGAATAACAGCAAAGACAGTATTAGCATTAAAATGCAGAATTAAACTGAACAGCTGTTATTGTTTGGTAAAACAACAGGGGACTTTATAGCAGAGGGAATTGTCCATTCTAAATGTGGAGAAGTTTTTTTGACCTGACTTAAAGCAGCAATCTCCTAGATCTCCATTCCGTTATCTTTGGAGACACTAATGGCCATACATGGTGATTGCAGGTTTCTTTTTGAACCAGCTCCATGTAATGTAACATATGTCACTAAATTTGTGTTGGTGACCCGTGTTCCTTGTGATTTTGCAGGTGAGTCACATCAGACACCCAGTTCATAAAACTGTAAAATGCAAGTTTTATATCATTTTGTCATTGGGTCAAAGGCTCAGTCACCACTCATGCGGTAAAAGGCACTTATTTAAAGGAAAATCTTGTAGATTGCCACATTCACAATCCACTTAAATTGAACAAAGGTATTTACAGAGAGATCAATATTAGTAAGGAATCTAATTCATAAGGCGACAGATATACAATTAGAGCTTACAGTCCAAAATGTCAGAGTATTCCTTTAACTTTCTTCAATATTTTTTTCTTCTTTTTATTGATGAAGGGAAATGTACAGTAATTCAGGTAACAGCACATAAAATTACATAAGTGAAACAGAAGAACATAAAAGCAATAAAAATGTAAAACGATAAATTATTTTATAAGACAAAAAGCACAGTGGTTCATAAATACACAAATATTTATTGATTTATTTAGTTGGAGGTAACAAGTTCTCCTTCAACTTCAACTCCTTCAACCTTAAAGATTTGTAACCAACATCAGAATCACATAAAACAAAACAAGATACACAATCTGAACTGTAAATCTAAATAAACACAAACACCCGACAAAAACACCCCATCCAAGAGGCCTAATCATCTAGATTTAATTATTATGTAGAAGAAAAGAAAAAAAATGTTTTGTTTAGTTTGTCTCCCTTTTCTGATGATTATGTTTTTTTGTTATTAAAAAAAATGTTACCATGATAATCCAAATGATGGTGCTCTTGAATATCTACTTAACTTCATAATTCTAAATGTAAAATTCTTTATCCAGAAACAGAAATTTCCCAAATTAACTCCTACATTTTCCCCTTTTCTCCTAGAATTGAATTCTTTACTGAAGTCACTCGGGTGGTTAAACAACAAAAACAGTAATAAGCTATCGTTGCAAAAAAATTCTACATGTACTTGAATGCAGCATGACGTAGCAGGTCAGAAAGGCGGTGAGAGGACGTGCGCTTGGCCATGCGTACTGAAACCCGCCCCTTTCTAACGACCCCCCAACCTACAACATGATTACTGCTCTACTTGTCTCACCACTGGTGTAACGTCGGACTCTGCTTTCACAGTAGAACCACAGGAGCAAAATTCACAAGAATTCGTCGTTGAAGGCTCATTTCCTCTGCTGCTTGTACCCCAGTCTATCACAGACCGGTCTAATATCAGCTATTCGGTCCGGGTCCTGGGTCGCTCTCTTGTTAAGTTGCTACGAGGACACGGAGGCTGAAGTGACATTTTGCTACGTTAACGTTAATTCATTCACCCACAACAACAACAATGGCAGCGCAGGATTTTAATTTCTTGCTTGCGACGGATTCTTACAAGGTGAGTCCCATTTACTGTCCTGTTACTGCTTTTTCCGAGTGAATTTGAGTTAATTCTGTTTATTTCGAGACACAGTTAGCTAGGGTATCTTTCCATATACCACAACACATCGCTGGGATATGTACTTAGACGTTGTATTTTTGGTTAATTGAATGTTTTGACTGTAGTAGTAGATGATATTGTTGGGCACTAGCAGTAATTATGTGATCTGAATTGTGTGCATGCTGTTGTTATTACAGTTTGTTAAACCAGGAGCAGAGGTTACAGGGGGTAGAGTCCATAGATAAGTAATGAAAAATGAATCCATGAAACCTTACCTGAGAAGATATGACTTGTCGAGGAATCACCCTCTCTAGAGTTTCCTGGTGCCAGTGTAATGGCTGAGTTTCGTTTTCACCATATCAAAACCATTCTTCACATCTGCCCTCACGGATTATACACGCATTTTTCTAAACACATACTCACTGTGTCAACATCACTGGGCCTACTCTCACATTACCCTTAAACTGTACAACCACAGGGTCTTTTGTATGTGTACACACATTTAATGTTTACACATATTTACAGTACACACCAACTGCAAGTGTCTGTATGTGTTCTTGTATGCATACACCCATTAGTACAACCAGAACCACATGGTAAAGGGCCTTTACTATTCAGGGCCATTTCAGGTTTAATACACAGGGGCCTAAGCAGGTCTCAGTCCAGCTATATGTGGTAAAATTATGACAAAAAAACTGGCATGGAACTAAAGTTTATCCTATGCGTGGGAGAAAATAGTAGTGTAACAGTGCCTAACAGTGCTAAGTGAAGGGCAACTGGAGAACAAGTTGCCTTTTAATTAGTTTTTGACAGTTGAAACAGTCATTATTAATTTGTCTCAAAGTGCTAACTTCAAGGGAATGATGTGCTGAAGACTATGAAAGAGCAGGACCTTTCAGGAGTCCCAGGACTCCAGTTTGATGAATCGAGATATGTACAGAAGGGCAAGGCACAGTGTGATTAATTTCATTGTAATGCTTAACCAGTAATGCCTGCTCTCTATATCAAAGAGCCCCCCCCCCCTCCAATTGACAGTTTTGCTTTCAGTTTCATGTCAGTAGAAGTCATGTTTTGCGTCCGTTAGTTACTTAAGTCCAGCTGTGAGTCAGTCCTTGAGCAGGCTATGCTGGCATGTTCAGTACACCCTCAGCTCGTTAGAGTTAAATGTCAGATGTCACTGTTAGATGTCATTCAAAGGTTTGCACTGCAGCCAGATGGCAAAGGTCTGGACGATGACCAACTGGCCTTTTTATTAGCTCCAATGACCCCTGCAAACAAGTCCAACGCAGAAGCACAGCCAAGAGGATTCCTCCAATGTGTCTGTCATCACAATCACATAATAGAAACTGATTTGGTACAATCTGATGAGCTCATCTGAAAGTCCACAGGGGTTATCAGGTTTACAGTGCAGCATTTTACATGATTTAAAGAAAAAAAAAAGTACATACCAAAATACTACTAATATAAACACTACTACTAATATAATATACTGCCTCCCATGTAGTCAACATGTTTAGTGTTTAGTTAGTTAGTCACAGAAATGAGACACTGTTGTCAACTACAAGTACACATAGTGTTGTATATGGCATTCAGACTTAAAGCAATCCTGCTTCTATGATTGAACAATAAATGTCATTTATTAACTAATCAGGAAATCTTCATGTAAATCTGCTCAACTTTTTAACCACATACGGTACATGTCCATGTTGGGGTTTTAAAGGTGACCACATGCACAGCAATAAGCTGGTGCTTTGTATTAACTGTGTCCTTGTTTTTGTCAACCAGAGTTTACCTCACAACGTTGGTTTGTAGATATTACTAATGTATGCAAAACAACTCTGTCATGTGAGTGTTCAGTGCGATCAATTACAGTTACTAGATGGCAGTTAAAATTATTGCCTCACTCATTAAATATGTGGCCTTTGCTGTCTGATGCAGCAGATTTCCTTTTTTCCCTTGGAGATTCATTTGTGTTTCGGATGAATCACAATAATATTTTCTGACCATAGACTGTAAATAGAAATGGAAGTAGCCTCTGTGACGTCACCCACAGCTGAGTGAATCAATGCTCTGCACACAGCTGTTTCATTTACACAAAAAAAATTAAACTGGCAGCCGAAAAACCAGGTACGGGAGGGGTACAGCAAGCGGAGACTGTCCAGTAGTTGTTCATCTCGAGTGGTGCCCTTGTTATTGTCTATCATATCAATGTATACTGTTACAGCTAAACTTGGTTCACCCATGTGTAGTATCACTACAAATACACAGGTTAGATATTCTACATTTTAAATACAGGCCCCAAAGTACAACCTCAGTGCAACAGAAGTGGTTACATCTGTGATTTCAATTAAAGTCCATTTGCATGAACAATGCTATGAAAATGCAAAAAGATTCTGTGAACACTACAGTGTGTCTAATGCATCATGGCTACACATGGGAAGAAATAACAGAAAGCGCAGTGAAATTTATGCCATGCACAACTTGCTAAGTATACAGCCCTGTGTTGAAAAACAGACGGGTAGGTGCTGTGGAACTGGCACAAGAATTATCTGTGGAAACTGGTGTTTTGGCTAGAGAGAGCTCAGATAGTGCACAGGACATTGCATGAAGTCAACCTTCAAGAAGAAAACCATTACTCACAAAACAGCATAAAATTGCAATATTAAACTTTGCCAAAGAAGATGAAAAGAGGCCAGATGAATATTGGCTGAACATTCTTTGGTCAGATGAAATCAAAATAAATGTGTTTGGATCAGATGGGGTCCAGCATGTTTGGTGTGGACCTGGCCAGGAGTGTAAAAGGTGTAGGATAGACATGTCTACATGACACAATGAATGTAAATTTGTATATCCAAATACCAAATGAAAAGATGACTCCCAATCTCAAGAAGCTTGGCAGGAGAGGAATTTCCCAACATGTGACAATGATCCCAAAGATTGTGAAAATCAAACAAGAGCTTTTAAAGACGAAAACAACGAGCTGGCCAAGTTTGTCCCCTGACTTGAATCCAATAGAAAGTATTTTAAAGCAGGAAGTAGAGAAACACCCCTCCAGCAAAGAGCATCTGTGAAGAATGGCAGGATATCTCTCCACAGACTTGTAAAGGACTGGTATCATAAAAGTCTATGAGTACTGAATCTGAAAAATCTCAGAATCTCACTAATGAGGGTTGTAATGACTTCTGTTGTAGCTGATTCTTAAATATAGGCCTTTGATAAGATATGAAACAGCTTAATTAGTCAAACATTTCTGTTCAAATGAATTTGACATGAAAATTATATTAGATGGATAGAACTTGTACTTTTTATTGATATTTACTCAGGTTTATTGCGTTTATTGTGTGTCAGCTGATAAGTTCTGAAGAAATTGCAGTAAAATGCCAAACTAGGTTTGAGATCATTTAGCAACAGTGTCACCAATTAGAGTTTATCAAGCAGAAGCACTCTGCTTTCTGTCTTGTTCAGTATCAAAATCAAATCTAAGGGATCCGTATCAAGATTGTTGTTTATATTATGTTTGTTTCTTAAATTTACTATTGGCCAGTTCATTATCAGATTTTTTTTAACTCTAAAATATTTATGTCAGTTTCAGCTTCAGGAATCCAGTATTAGGGAGCTATTGTCCAAACTGAAATATCAGCAAATATTGAATGGATCTCCATTAAATTTGGTTGAGATTAATATTCATGGTCAGCAGAAGATGAATCCTAACCACTGTGGTGAGCCCAAGCAGCAACCCCCGGGGTTGAAAAATGAAGCTAATGCTGAAGAACCAAAAACTGCCATTCCTCTAATGACCACTAGAGTCTGGCTCCAACAGTGAGTCAGTCCCCATAGACTCCCATGTTAAAATGTCCAACTTTACAGCAGAAGTAAACATGTTTACAGTCTGGCACAAAAAAACAGTTTTGGTCTCTAGAGTTAATTTCCTCCTTCATGACAACTGTTCATATAACTCACCTGTTTACATTTTATTAAGACTTCCAAGTTGTGTATAATTGAGGGCGTGGCCTCTTTGAGTGACAGTTGGATGAGAATATACTTGCCACAAACCGGCATGGGCCAAAGTCTCGGCTCCATGCATGTCCCACCTCTTTGACCATATTTGGATTTGCTGGGAGCTAGGGGTGGAGTCAGGCACTACCAAGATGGCGAAGATGGAGCAGCTCATTTTGAGCTTCAAAACGTTCTTCAGAACCTTGTGGGTGACTTCACAAAGGCTACATCCATCTTTAATTACATTCTATGGTTGATTACTTTTCATCTACCGCCACCAACAGGGCAATATTTTCAATAATCCAGAATATCTCAGTGTTGACTCTGGCTTCAAGTGTCTATCAGAATTTTTTTTGTCCAATACTTTGCTTTATGACTGACTAACTGCAAAACTATTGACATTCTCACCACTCTCAGCTGCAGAAGAGCAAAGGAAGAGGAAGAACAGTTTCACTTTCACATCAAGCTCCACCTTCTCTGTAGTCCTGACTTGTCTTAGGCTACCTTTTCCAATCTCCTTGCTCAGATTTCATTATCTGCTCTTTTATAATTTGATTTTTACAGCGGTGATGATGCTGATTATGATGTTGCCTGCCTGACTACATGCTTTTTCACTGGAGCCCAGGGCAATGGTGTACATGTGACTTCGGCTTTGTGTTTTGTTTTCTGCTGAAATTCTCAGTTGCATAACTTGTGTAATAATTAACAACTATATCCAATATGCAGCCACAGCAGGGCTCTGGGAGCACTGTGAGCTTTAACTTTCACTACTGAAGTTTCTGAGGAATTCACTCAGGCCTGATATGTCCTTGTGCCTGGCTACATGCAGCTCTTAATACTTTAATGCACACTGCATTTGGTCTGTTAACAGCATGGTAATACCATAATCATGCTGGTGTGTGTACACACCAGCATGTACACACCAGGTGTGTGTTACTCTTATTCTTCTGTTTTGTGTCTGTGGTGTGTTCAGTGTCCTACCCCCACCATTCCTCCAGAGGTGCTCCAAAAACACTTGAAAGTTAAAGCAATGACAACACCAGACCATGGTAACAGGTCTTATAGTATATGACGCTACTTTTCATATATGACGGTCAGAGGTGTAGTGCTATTTGTGTATCCGAGAGCACCTATTACGTGCATACATGCAAGCATGCGCACCGTTACGTTGGGACTCGTTTCTAAGGTTATGTAACCCCTTTTCTTACGGTGACAAGTTTACATAGATCAGTCAACTATGATCACATGATGAAATGTTAAACTGACTTTTTGAACAGTTTGATCATGTTAAGAATATGACACAGCATCAGACAAACATCCAGCTCAGTAATATTACATCATGCCATGGATGTAGCAGGTTGTAATTAGCGTAGCATTAGGCAGAAAGTGAATGAACACAAGTAGTTTGTGTTATTGTGTTATGAAGCCACATTGGGCATCCATTCAGAGGAGAAGCTGCAGTGCAGGCAGAGGAGTGTAACAGACTGACTGTCATGTTTCTGTGTAAAAGCATCACAGATAAATAAACTGTCAGAAGAGTGAATGATGAATGAAGGGATGTTTTCTGTCTTTTCATCTTCACTAATTAACTATTTAATTCACTAAGCAGCTCAGAGGCTACCGGCAGCTACCGCCATCTTTTAAGCTTCTCGTGTGTTACTCAGTTCATGATTGACATTTGGAAATCAATCAATGCACCTTGAGTGTCAATATGACATACACTTTAGTGATGATCAGATCTTCAAGCTCTTAAAAATGTTTATAAAGTTGCAGATAACATGGGTCTTATTGAGCTGCTTCTTCCCCTCGAGGTTATAAAATCTGAAATGTGTCCAAACGTTACCGTCACTGAAGACGGGGTAGGTTGAATTACATTTTCCTTTATGTTTTCCATTGCTCATGCTGCACTTTCTTCTAGCTCCAAGGAGGAGTATCTGGGTGGAAACCAACACAGCGCCATTTCTTGGACTGTCAGGTTAAACTCGTATCAGGGGAAAAATGAAACCAGCGCTGTGAGAAAAGACTGAAAAATATGAATAGATTTTTTTCTTTTTCTCTTTGAATTTATGAATCCATTTTGAATTGATAGGATTGCAATTCTAATGTGAATCGATTTTTTTGTTTTGCACACCTTTACTAACCACAATCCATTTTAAAACATGAATTTAACAGATCTGAATGAGAAAATGTAATGAACCTAAATACAACCCACCAATATTCCATATTCAATTTTTTTTATAGACCAGTTAATTTATTTATTTTATTTTACCATTTCATGTAACGTTACAAGGGATCATTTCATCCTCCTCTTCCTCAGCCTTGATAGATTGATATCAGTGATTTACACAGTGGATTTACTCTTTCTTTATTTTGGTGATCACTTGCTGTTCTGCAGCTGAGATTTTCAGATGTCCAGATATTTTCCATCTGCACTTGAACACACCACACATGGCCTCAAATAGAGCCCTTTACATGAATGAGTTATGACAGCCAGGGGTCAAAAACAGCAGCTCATGTGACACATGTAGCTTCAAATAATTCCAACTATGTGATTCAGATGTATTGTTTTCCATAGGGAACAGCAGGATTTACCAGCAAACAACGGCTGTTAATGACTTGTACAACTTTGCAAACTAATTCTTTGTATTGTAAATGAATGACTGATGTTTGAAATATTAAATATTTGTACTATTGAATTGCTAATTATGGAAGAAATGGATTATAGTGAAACATTTCCGTATGATACTCCATCTTATGTAATAGCTTGTATCATATCTTGTCTTGACAGTCCATTAAATTAAATTAAGTGGTTATTTACTAATATGAATAAACCCTACGTAAGGCTCTCATCCATTCAGGCATACTGATGTTTATGTTAGTCTCATCCATTCTAACAAGTAGACAAACCAGGAGAAATGAAAATCATCAAGAAATTAACACTGCGCTGTCAGTAATTCTTAAGTGAATTGTAATGTCATTCAAGCTATATACTATGTATCTATATCTCAAAGACTTTGACTGTGACATGATTGTTGGTGTCTCTGAAACTGCTGATCTGAACAGCAGAAAACCATTTGCCCATTTATCTCCTTAGTAAACCATAATGACATAGTGAAAACCCTTAATTCAGTGCAGCTTCTACCCATCTACAAACTTTAAAACACATTGTATTATGAAGTCAACAACTTTAACTGTAGAATATTTAGAAGTATACAATGACTTCTCCCCACAAAGAAAGAACATGTTGAATGAATCAGGTGGATTCAGCTTTAGTCTTTATTTTGTCAGACAAAGAGATATGAACTCCTGAGCATTCATACTTGTCCAGTTACTTGGGAAAGATTATGATGAAGAACTGTACCTTGTATGTGTGTTGTGTGTATCCTATAAACCATCCAGGTGTTGTACTCACCTGCATACATTACAGGTAACAGAAGTAACTGAAATAAGTTTTCTTTGTAGTATGAAGTCTACTGAGTCCACATACTGCTTTATGCACCACCTAGGAGACATGATGGAAATCCTGTTGGCAAAAACTCAAAATATATGGACTGAATAACAAAAAATCAATGACAGTTTTGGAACAATGTGAGCGTACAGGCAAACTAAATCAGCTCTACCATGAAATGGGGTTTTAGCCGTTTGAAATCACTGTATGAGAAACACTGAACAGTGTCAAAATATTTTTGGTCTGAGTGATTGGATCTCAAACGTGTCCTCAATGCATCTTGGGATTGTTCACACCTGAATTTGTGATCGGATCACCTGAGATGCAGTTTAATGCGGGTCTGAACAGGACCAATGTGCCAATCTTTTGTTTTTCATAAAAACTTCCCAAGAACTCCGAACTGTAATAACTCTGCCATGCCAAGTAATGACATCTCAGAGTAACTTACCCTGAGATATATGACATACAATATGTGACATGTCTAGATAAACTAAAGAAGGAGAAAACTTTGCATATCTATTTTGTGAGGCAGGTGCTTAGGAACAGGATGAGTGGATCCAAAGTGGCTATCAAAAAATCCTGCACACTGTCAAAATTGCAGCAAACAATTTATTGCAATGTTTGGGTCCCCAGGCATTGCCTGATGAAGGTCTAGGACCAAAACGTTGCATTAAATTGTTTGCTGCAAGCTAGGTGTTCTCCTGAAGCGAGAGCAGGATGTGAGGAGAGAGGACTTGAATAGGAGGCAGGATGAGGCAGGAGAATGCAGAGTGACTGCCTCTTGGAGCTGTTTCCTCCACTGACTGGTTGTTACTGTTGATTATTCTATTAGTGCTGCAGGAGCATAAAGAGAGACTTGTGCTTTAAGCTGTCTTCATTCCTTCCAACATGGTTCCAGAAAACATGCTTACATGACGTAGAGCAGACAATCCTCCAGTTCACAGCTTATTATTGGTGCACTGACCAGGGTTTTATTTCATGCTGTTTCACAACACAAATCTGTGTGATGTGATAAGATTAGAGTGTGATGAATGACTGTTCCAGATCCTGCAGGTGATTATTAGAACTACACTGTAACATGTTTACTCAGTTAATCTGCTATCTGTGTGGCTTCTCTCTGTTTCTTTCAGATCACACACTACAAACAGTATCCACCTAACGTCAGCAAAATCTACTCCTACTTTGAATGCAGACGCAAGAAAGGTTCCCAGTTCAATGAAGTGGTGTTCTTCGGTCTTCAGTACCTGCTGAAGAAGTACCTCACAGGTAGGTTCACTTCCTCTTCTCTGATCTGAGAAATGAATTGACAGAATCCTTAAGCTGTGAGTAGATAGATACAGAAGGATGATGTGGATTGTTGTCTACAGGGCCTGTGGTCACAGAGGAGAAGATTCAGGAAGCCAAGCTCTTCTACCAGATGCACTTCAAACAAGCTGTGTTCGATGAGGAAAGCTGGAGGAAAGTTCTCGAGGTGTGTCTGTCAAGACAGATTCACAGGTGGTGCATCAATCATCATTTATGAAGCTAACTTGAAGTCAATGTCCTTGTCACTTTGTCAGAAACATGATGGCCGTCTCCCTATCCGGATCAAAGCTGTCCCTGAGGGCAGGATCATACCAAGAGGAAACGTGCTCTTCACTGTGGAGAACACGGACCCCAACTTCTACTGGCTCACCAACTACATTGAGGTAGAATGACTCTCCTTCACTTCACTTTGTAGCACTCTCTTAGCTTCATGTACATGGACAATACACTACTGACACAACCCTCTGAATCCCACAGGAGAGTATACACTTCCAAATATCACGTTGTCCTTAGAGCATCATTATTCTGCTTTCTCCCTGTATGTGTATTGATCGATTCTCATCCGCCATCTTAGCTCATGACGTTTAGAGGGGGTGGGGGGTGGGGGTTCTCTACCTGTGATTAAGACAGAGCAGATTGTAATGGCTTGTTGAACGGCAGAGAGAAATGCGCTTCTCGTGTGAACAGCCGTGTAGTCTATACTGTACCAACATACAACATAAAACCAGGCAGGCGGTAATAGAAAAATAGGGTTCCTCCAGTGCCTCCATCCTCATGCACAGTGATGCTGTAACTTGTCATATTTTCTACATTTCTATATGTCTACTTCTTTGTCTTACCAACTTATCACTCACCATCACAATCTCTTGTCTTTCTCTCCATACTCATTCACCCCTCCCCCTCCCTCTTGCTGGCTGTAGACCATGCTGGTTCAGATGTGGTATCCCATCACGGTAGCCACCGTTTCCAGGGAGTTTAAGAAGATCCTGGCCAAGCACCTGAAGGCCACGTCAGGGAGCCTGGAAGGCCTGGACCTGAAACTGCACGACTTTGGCTACAGAGGAGTCTCCTCACAGGAGGTCAGGAAGACTGTTGCTCCTTGTTTTTACTCTTCTGCTGTAAATGAAGGGTATATTCGGGCACATGGTTGCACAACGATACAGGCAATTCTATATAACCAGTATCACTGCTTATCATCCAAAGAATCAACTGAATTCCCTGTAAGTGGCTTCAGTTTGAACTGAAAACCCTGATGTGAACGGCCCACACAGCAAATGATCATCTTGTGATATCTGCTTTGGGCATATGGCTGTGTCATGCTGATGTTATCCAATTATTGCATGATATAAGTAGTGTTGACATCACTGATTACAGGCACAAAGGTTAGATTAAGAGAACTCAATGAGAGTCAGAGGGAAAGACTTAGCATAATAAGAATAACGCTGGAATGTAAATTCAGTTATCAGTGTCTGAGCCACAGAGCCGGTGGAAGTGTTTCAGTCTAAAGTAAAATCCTCATAGGTCCAGCATACCATGACCATTTTAACACAGGCAGCAGCTGATTTATGACAACATACAGGCAGAACAGTGTCACCTCATGTCTGTCTCCCTGGTAGAGCTGTTAATACATGGAGGAACAAACCGTTTAACACTCATTCTTAAAGCTGAATTGAGAGTACTGAATCACCAGTGTCACTTATGGAGCTCCTCTCACTGATGACTGAAAGGGACCCAGACATTTCAGTCACGCAGTCGTTCATAAGAATTAAATTACTGGATAGAAGACGGTGTTCTTAGTCACTTCTGTAGTGTGTAAAGTGTAAAACATCATGTCAACAACATCAAATTTTTTGAGATTTTTTTAGAGGCCACCATATTCAGACACTTAGCAGCACTTAGCTAACATTTAGCAACTGCCACTGTGCTATGCCATGGTCAGTCTGCCTCCAGATGGGGAGGGGATGACTTCCTTGAGATGAGTTCTAGACTCCCTCCTACCTTCACAGAATAGTTTCACTGCTTGCTTGAATCTGTTTTCTAATAACTACATTATAACATTGGTGTGGGAGATTTAATGGAAAAATCACTCAATAGAAGAAAAAATATATAAATGAATTTCTTTATTATTTATTCATTAATTATTTATTTTGAAAACCATCCCATGACATCCAAAAATAATCTAATGACCCCTGTGGGGGGTTTCAGTCCCCAGGTTGAGAGCCACTGGTGTAAAGTAACAAAAAAAAATAATAATTTTTTTCTCTGACCTGATAGGTAGGGATAACGTCTAAGGAAGATGTCCTCCACCATCTGTGACTTTATATGGTTTGCATTGACTGTAATTGATGTCACTGTCTCTATGTCGAACTAGATTTTTGGTCACTTTCCAGCCACCTAACATTTTCTTTCACCTTTATAAGTCACTCTGATACAGGACATGAAGGTGGTGGCTCAGTGCTAAGCTGAGCTGTCGTATACAGTCTGTCACTACCTGAATGAATCTCACTGCAAAAACAGAAACATCCAAGATGTAACAACCCTGATGCAGATTAGTTGCTCCTGAGCTATGAGCCTTTTAAACTGTGCCTGGTTCTGAACTGAACTCAGATCTTATTTGAGACAGCAATGTGGCTGATGGTTCTTACTTCCACTCTCCAGTCTGCAGCACTAGGTGGAGCAGCTCACCTGGTTAATTTCTGCAGTACAGACACAGTGGCTGGGCTGCTGATGGCTCAGAGGTATTATGGCTGCCCAATGGCTGGCTTCTCCATCCCAGCAGCAGAGCACAGGTATAACGCACACACACACGTATCTTATATTACCTCCATCTTTATTCACATTTGCATGTTTACCTTGGGTATGCTTTGGTTTACTCTGTTACTGGTGATACAGATGTTCCTTACCTTGGGTATGCTTGGGTTTACTCTGTTACTGGTGATACAGATGTTCAGGGTTTTTCCTGGCCGGAAATTAGGCGGGGGGTGGTATTAACTGTACTACGGAGGGTGGGTGTAGGGGGTCTCCAGCCACTACGTGTCAAAGCCAGTCACTCTAGGCTTTTGAGAACATCTGGGAAGATGAATAAGTGATGTTAAAATCATGTAAACGTCAGCTTTAATACACTTGTTAATACATCCCTAAAGCCTTGGTTCTCTCGCCTTGACTCCTCTCTCTGATCCTCTCCTCCACGTCACCTTCCACTTGTGGCTGGGAACTAGGCCTACTGTCAGTCCTGACACCTAGACCATATCTCGTCAGTAACATGAATTAACTTTTTTTCCCATATTAGAAGAATTAATGATGTTGCCACAAAATCGCGGCCTACCTTCTGCAGGCTGAAAATCCAGCATGTTCGTATGCTTCTTCTTTGGCAATTTCGGATGGCTCTGCCTGATGCACGGATTACGATACAATGCCACTACACTGCCGTAGCGGCGTACAGCCACAATTGCAGTTAAAAAAATCAACCAAGTACCGAGAAAACAAGTAGGCCCTACTACAATTTTGTCGGGAAGCGGAGGCGGCACAAAATTTGACAGAGGCGGCCGCCTTGCAATTCTCTATGCAGGAAAAACCCTGATGTTTCAAACAAACCCACATAACTATCATAGCAGCCCAGGTTGACCAGTTTCATGGATCTCTTACTTCCCTCCACAATGATGTAAGAAAGCATTTTGAGTATAAATTGTATAGAACACCGTCTTCTATTGTCATGTTTGATATGTGGAAGTGAGTGAGTCCCTGGCTCAATCCTGGCTGGCTGGACTGTTTACTGCATGTCATTCCCTTCCTCTCTTTCCCCACATTTCCTGTCTCTTTTCACTATCACTATCAAATAAAGACATGAAATACTCCAAAAATTATATAATCCATAATTTAAAACATTTAGCCTTTGGGTCTGGCTTCTTCAGAATCTGACCAGTTGAGGTGTCATTGATCTGTGACGAGACTGTGACACCATCACCATGACACCATGGGATTGTTGATTACTTCATTCCTGTCATCCAGCACCATCATCTCCTGGGGGAGGAGCAGGGAGAAGGAGGCATTTGAGCGAGTCCTAGACCAGTTCTCCTCTGGACCAGTCTCTGTGGTCAGCGACAGCTACGACATCTTTAACGCCTGTAAACACATCTGGGGAGACAAACTGAAGGAGCGAGTCATGGAGCGCAGTCAGGACTCCTGTCTGGTCATCAGGCCAGACTCTGGAGATCCCGCAGAGACTCTTGTTGAGGTAAAAAAAACAATGTATGAAATTAAAACTGTTGAATTGTTGACAAGGAGGCTCCAGAGAATCTTGAGTGAAGAAACCACAGACTAGTATGAGAGGTTAGTTTTGCGTATTTTGTGAATTTGCAAGAAAAAATAAATTAAGCTGAAATGGGCGTGGCATATAACAAGGGATGCAGCTAACTGGTTTTAAATCGAGGCATATTAGTCAGATTTCGGCCATTAATTTTTACCTATAATTGTGATATTTTTCAACTAAATCTGTTTTTAATAATGAAACTCTTGACAAAAATCCTGATACTTAGAGACTTATAATTTTACTTACCAAAACAGGTTACCACTGTCTCTTCTTTCCCATATTTCAGCTGTTTTGAAGTTTAAAGTTTTATACTATTTTCAGACCTTTTCATAATTAATTGTGAGTGTGTATTGCAGCTGCAAAGCAGTGACAATAGCATAGTGGAGGCACAACTTTGCTTTCCCAGACAAGAAGAAAAAACAGCTCTTCTCAGTCTCCCAGGTTTCACTCTTCATACACAAATTATGCATCATATGTCGTAAGAACTGAGCTTCTAAAAGTCTTGTACTCAGAGGGACTGAGAGTTTTGACTCGTTACTGGCTAAGATATTTTTTAGTGGTGGCAGGTTATGGAAGTTAGGTATGAGGAAGTGACAGTTAAGGTGGTAATAAATGAAGTTGTGTCTCACCGTCCCTGTCTTTATTGATTTGATGTGTTGAATCCTCAGCAGATGTATACGAAACACCATACATAAAGCTGTAGAAATAGTCTCTGATTCTGAATGGTGTCTTTTTATGTAAATTTCTGAAAAATATAACATGTTATAAGATGTTCCGATTGGACCAAGTTAACACCCACATGTATAAATCATTCAAATGCCTTTTTTGTTTTATAGGTTATCAAGATTTTAGAAGAGTGTTTTGGCTGTTCTCTGAACTCGGTTGGATACAAGGTGCTGCCATCGTACCTGCGAATAATCCAAGGAGACGGCATCGACCTCAGCTCAGTGGACGAGGTAAAAAAACGTTGTTTTACTAGTTTCATCCTAAGTATTCTTTATGCATCTTATTTAGTATGTTCAGGGTTCAAGGCTTGTCTTCTGTCGTGACCTGGAATGAGGTAGAAACATGAAACGTGGCCCAGTAACTGAAAATGATGAGCATGTGCTTCCCAACAAACATGGGCCCAGTCGGCAAGATGATGGTGCTGTTTTGAAAAGGCTACACCCCTCACATCATAAGTCTGACTGACTTGAAGTTTGACAAACAAGTCCAGCTCAGTGTTCTCTACAAAAAAGCCTCTAGGACCATTAAAGTCGCCACAATAGATTTCCCATTTTTTCACAAGTTTTTCACCTCTCCTCCTAAATTGTAGGTCTGGTTACTACCACATTTTCTGTTGATCGTCAATGGACCAAGCTTATCAGAAGTTACATAAAGCTTGTTGATATTATCTTTAGTTTTCAAGATATTGACCAATAAACTTCACAAGGGGCGGAGCTTAGCAGAAAAATGAAAATAATTCATTAAAGATTTGTCCAGTCATCATAAATCTGGGTTCCTATCTTCAGGTCGTGTTTGGGAAAAGTTCTACAGCATTTTGTATCTGACCCATAGGGCGTGCCACAAGTACCTAAAATGCGTTCCTCAAAACCCAGTGGACAGAGTTTTAAGTGTGCATGTTCTAGGGGCAAGTATCCTCCCAAAACTGAAGTTCCATATTGATTGGTGTAAGTGGGCGTGGCCTATCATGTATTTGCTCATAACTCAAGATGCCTTTGAACAACCCTGACTTAACTTACTGGAGACACCCTGCACCATCTGATGAATGAGGAACAAATGGAGGAATGTTGAGTGCACAATTATTGAGATGCTGCAGGCTTTGTGATGATGAAACAAGTGTGTGATTGGTCTCTATCCTTCTTTAAACAGAATTAAACTATCTGAAGTGACTTTGCTCGGCTTTGTCAAGCCTGAAACCTGCTCATTGCTGCTCATGGCTTTAGCTTTAGTTGACTGAGCTGCTTCATTTTGTGAAAAAGGGCTGAAACCCAGAATCACTTCTTACAGCTATTTCATATTTTTCTATTCCCTCCTGTTCCAGATTCACTTTTCATGGTGTGATCATTACTTCTACTATTACACATTTTTTCTAGGATTTTCCAAAAACAATGTTTGCCAAAAATTTTAGATGCTACAATCACACAGAAATTCTACATATAGGGCATTTCAGTTTTATTTTTGTAGTTTGTGCTATAAAACCTGTCTGATCAATAATGTGAAAATGTGACGGAGTCATTGTTTTCCACACCTCAGCACAGACGTTGATGAGTAAAATGTAACTCACAGAGACCCAGGTTGTATTTCCCTTTAAAGATCAATGCAACAGAGCAGACAGCATGACAATACAAACTAAACAGTTTGTATTGTCATGCTGTCTGCTCTGTTGCAGGCCACTGTGTCCAAATATCAGAGTTTGTTTAAGCAGAAAAACAGATTTGCAGTTGTCTTAACTATAAGAGTCACATTTTTACTCTCTTGCCTGAAAATATTTGTCATCAGAAGTTTGGTTTTCCTGAACAATGCTGTGAAATGTTTCAATACTTCTTATACACACTGACTGAAGCTGACAAAGCTTATCACTCTGATTCAACATGAAATCCTGATGATATTTGTCTTATTGTGTTTGAAGCTTGACCTTCTCTGTTTTCTGAAGATTCTCCAGAAGCTGAGTGATGAAGGCTGGAGTGCTGAGAACGTCTTCTTTGGATGTGGCAGCGCTTTACTTCAGAAACTCAACAGAGATACACTCAGCTGTGCCTTCAAGTGCAGCTACGTGGAGACTAATGGCAAGGGGGTAGGTGGAGGAGTTCTGGTTCGATGTGGATTCCCGATGGTTCTGATAACATTTTTTATCGAGAAGGGGGTCACAAGGACTCGACATACACAAGAAACATGAGCAGTGTGGCAATCAGACAAAGTTTTCAATGTGCTTGTGTGTGTGTAGTAAATAGTAAAATATTTTAGGTTCATGATGAAGCTGTTGTGAGACTAATCAGACTGACAGAGGACGTCAGTAGAGTAGTTGGTCCTTCAGTGTGGCCCAGGACACAGTCACGTTCACACTGCTAAAAGAATGTGGACACATGTGGTCCAGACCTCCTCTGAATGTGGTCTGAGTGACCGGATCTCACACGCGTCCTCATTGCGTCTCGGGTGTGTTCACACCTGAACTTAGAGCTGACCACTGGTGATCAAATCACCTTAGACAGATGTTAATGCAGGTGTGAAGAGGGCCTGAAAAATCAGCTTTTAACAACATTTATGTAGCTAGGACACTTTAGGATTAGTGTCTTTCAAAAGCCTCTAATATTATGTAAGACAGGTTCACAGTTTTTCAAGAAGGTCTGAAAACAATAGTCAGGTTGTTAATGTGTCAAATACACTGAAACAGTTTTTTCCAGCTGTCATCATTTTTCCTGTCGATACTGGACATTCAAACATCCTTTCCTGACAGGCTCCCAGTGGAAGTGCATAACATCATCTGGCTAAATGTTTTTTGTAGATTTCAGTCTGTGTCTTGTGGCGCACTTAATGATCTTGACTCAGATACTGTAGTCCTCACAGACAGGCTTTCAGTTTGCTCAGGTGTACTGGAGCCAGATGATTTCCATCAGCAGTCTCTAAACTAGTTTTATGTTTCCCTCCAGATGGATGTATACAAGCAGCCAGTGACTGACCCATCCAAGAGGTCAAAGAGGGGACGGCTATCACTGAGGAGAAACTCTGATGGCTTCTTAGAGACAGTGGAAAGAGGAGCAGGAAAACCTGAGGAGGTTAGTCCAGTTTTTCATTTTAACTCTCAGTTTTCAAGCTTCACTGTTTTACAACACATACTGTGTCAAGTTTTTTTTTTTAGCAAAGATAATTTGGTTGATAAAATAAAGATGATTCAAATATCAATCAGGTCATTTTTTCTAATTTTCTGAACTAACAGTGCTGCTCTTTTTCAGGTGCTTGTGGTTCATAATTTTTCTTATGTATGGCTATTTTTTGTTTTCATACATACTCAACATTATTGGTTATGATCCTCTTCCTCAACACACCTTATATCCACTGATGAGAAATATTTATTATTCCCTCCTCTGCCCAGGTACAGTTTAGTTCAGCTCACCTTCAGATCAGCAACATAGTCTCATGTTTTACCTGTAACATCGCTTTCACACCTAAAGTTTGTTTGCTCTTGTCCTGTTCAGTTGATGAGTTTGTAATCTTGTAGGTTAGGTTTTCTTTCACACAGAGACAAATTCAAGTGAACCAAAATGCATCATTACAAACCACGTGAGAACGTTTTCTCCTCTTACTGTTCAGATTGTCTGGCTGGAGCAGGAAAGTAAACACAGGAAGAAGGTTACAGGAACCATCAAGCTCAAACTTGCGAGCTCACTTGCTAGTGGGGTTGGTTAGAGTTCAGAACTGTTTCAGACCAAAAACGAACCACTCTAGAGTTTGTTTGGGACTGGACCCAGACCACCTCCTCGAAAGGGTCTCGGTGCAATTGTTTTGGTCCGTACCCGAGTGTGATTACTGTTTTCACACCTGCCCCAAATGAATTGTATCAAGAGGGAAAACGAACCAGGGTTTGTTTTAACTGGACTAAAAAGCGCAGGTGGGAAAACACCACAAGACTCACTTTTTGTCCTAGTGCACCACAGAACATTGGTCCTGATTGGCTTCTGACAGTCTCACTGGACGGCAGGTTGTACCAGTGGCTGGTTCAAAAGTAGTTTAGCCAACTTCACTAATATTCAGTGAGGAGTTAAGACTGTTTTTCCTGCTCTCCGTTTCTATCAATTAGTTTTATAGCTTGGTCATTTTGAGGTTATATTATGTAACCATATATTTATGGTTATATGTTATTTATCCAACTATAATACATATAACCTCTGTGCTCATCAAGGTGCCACGACTTCAGCTGCACCAGTAGTCTGATGGTTGAAGTGCAGACCACATAACAGTAACGTTCCCTCCCCTCATTTTCACTGTCTTCACAATATCCACTGTCCAAGGACTAAGGAGCAGGATCAGTGTTGTACTGCAACGTGTTTTTTTAAGACCATAAACCATGAGACTACAGGGTGCTAGATCCTGATATTTTTACCCCTCTCCCTTACTTGAATTTCTCTTGAAGATTCTTTTATTTGTTTTGTTTTGTTTTGTTTCATATTGTGAGATCAACAGTTTCTCCAAAACCATTGTATTGTAGTGTCATAAAGTCAGAGGACTCACAACAGACAGGTTTTTAAAAGGAAAGCTCAAAATCAAAGCAGCAGTGGCCATGACATCCTGACTTTTAGTCCCTTGTGTGGGTCAAGCTCCGATGACATGTTTTTTTTTTTCCTGACCAATAGCAGATTCTCATTAACAAGCCAGCACATAAAATGTACTATTTAGAATAGACTAGTCTGTAACCCATTAAAAAATACCAATACAATTAAAGTAGGCTGGAGCAATCAGGGATGTGTAAACAGAGATCGAGACAGACAAACCCTTCCCAGCAGATCATCACACAAGGCCTTTTAATTTGACTGTTGCAGAGGAAGTGACACCCCACTGATCCCGGAGTTATTGTGAAGATCGGCTTTATGCGTGATTTAAAAAAAAGAGCAGAAGAGCAGAATCACTTGTTGACCGGTGGAGAAATTAGCCTCTGGTGTGAACAGCCAGGCTGCTGCTTGTCACTTGATTCAACCCTCCTCCTCCTGTACTCCATGATTTATGTGTATGCTCCATGTTCTTCAGGACCTGCTGGTGACTGTGTTTGAGAATGGCAGCCTGGTGCAGGACTACTCCCTGGAAGAGATCAGGAAGAATGCTAGGCTGCGCGACGAGGACCTGAATCCAACCCTGCACAACCACGAACAGGAGCTGCTGCACAACCACATCATCAACGGGATCCATTAGCTGCTCCACAGCCTCTCGCCACCATGCAAACGACACTTCAGTGTTTAACAGGGTGCACTGGAATCAAGACTGCAGTGTTTCAGAAAGGCACCCTTCTAAGTATAAACTGAACACGTTGAAGGGGAGTGAAAAGCATTCACCACCAAGCACTACCACACCCCACCCCCACCACTCTGCCACTTCATCCTGAGGAGCCCATTGATTATAGGTAGATTAGCTTCTTTCACTTTCACTAGCCAAACACTCACAGCACATCCTCAGTGGCCAGAGAGTCACTCTGCCCGGCATGGCCGTGACCAGAACTGAAGCTCAGGGTCAAATACAATAAGCTACATTAGTTTTTCGTCTTTTATTTTTTGATTTAAAGACACTTCCTGAATTTGTAGTTTCAATTGAACTCCACAACATAATTGGGGAGCATATTCTTTAGAGATATTTTCATTGCTGATGTGCAGTATCTGAGCAATTTCAGGCCAAAAATTTCTTTAACTTCCAAATATTCCAAGCTTCCATTAGATTTCTTTTTCTATTAGAGTAGAAAAATCTTTGAAGCAGCACTTTAGACACAACAATTTATGAATAAATAGTTACAGTATTGCTGATTATTGTATTAGTGGTACATCATTAGCTGTGGGTTACACTGCTGCTACACTGCTTGGTACATAGTATTTCAGCAGAGCAGTATGTTGCTGCAGCCTTACCTGCTGCCATTTAGTTAGTTTTTGTTCTTTGACAAGTTACCAGTCACATAGATTTAATTTGCTTGCTTAATGAAGATCCAGCCTCTAACAAGCATAGCAGACTTCAGATATGAAAGGGAAATACAAACCATATGCACAATTTAATATCACAACAGTGACCAGTAATGATAAATAAATAAATCACTTTGTGTTGTGCTGCCACAGTTTGGTAAAAAAAAAAAGCTAAATCAGTGAAACTAAACCTGTTGTTTCTGATCCCAGTGACCCACAAAGCACAGTCCATGGAAACCCAGAGTAGTCAATATTTGATAATTTAAAAATACATTAAATAATCATCAATAATTAAACAATATAAATAAATGAATAATAATTAAATAATAAATGATTAATCATATGAATAACCTGCTTTGTAAAATAATTGAAGTAATTATTGAAACTCAAGTCACTTTTATGAACTATTATTTCATCATTAATTTTTGTAATAACATTTATTTCATTTTATTTAATAATAGATCTTTTCATAACAGTGATGCTGGGAACAGTCACTTCCTCACGTACCCCCTGCTTCTCTTCTGTTAGTGAGCTAAGCTGCTGCTATCAAATGTAGCTAGTAGCTAGGTCAACGATAATGTCAACGTAATTATGAATCAACCAACAAAAGGTTTCTGCTGTGAATAAGCAACACAGACACAGTAACTACAAGGCTGCTCGGGCCAAAGGAGCCACTGTTAGCGGTGATAGCTAACACTGCTAACAGTGCTCCTGTTGGCTTGAGCAGCCACATATATAAACGGAGATGTTCATTTCAGTGACTTTATACTGTATTAATTAACAGTAGTAGCTGGACAGCTGATTCAGAGCACCTGGACATTGTTGTTGCTCATGCCAACAGGAAACAACAGGCTAATTCTGCCAGCTATTGCTTAGCTTACTTGCTGTGATTGGCTGAAATGAGAGAGGGTGGTGACAACATCACTGTCAAGAAAAGTGTCATGAAAAAAACAAATTTCTATAAAAAAATAAATGAAGAAATAACATTTTATAACAATGAGCTAAGTTTTAATGATTTCTTGAAGGATTTCACAAATTATTGTTTCACAATTTATTCATCTGACTCTTATAATTATTTAATATTGATCACTTTGAAGCTCCATATATTCCTTAATTATTAAGTCTTATGATCAATTCTGCTGGAGTCCAGATTGTGAGTTTAAATCACTGCTTTCCAACCGTTGTGGCTTTGACCGTTTAAAGTGAAGCTGTGTTTCCAGAGGACTGTGGAGGTATTTGACCTAATTCACTTTCCATAAATCAAAGCAAATAGTGACTTTGAAGTTTTCTCTTAACTGGAATTGATGGAGGTGTAGACACATTCTTGTTTTCCTGTTTCCATTTAAACACTTGAACTGCTATATTTGCTAATGTCTTCTGTTTTGGTGAGATACAATAGGACATATATGATAGTATTTGTTACATAATTAAGGAATATTATAACAGTAACTGTTGCACTGATTTGACAGACGTATACTGAAATGAAGTTGCAGTGAACATGGCTCATTCAGTCATCATCTGTAGTAGAGACAGCACACTGCTGTATGTGCTGTGGAAAGACTGCTGCTATAATAACACACAGTGAGGCACATCGCACTGCTCTCTCATGTTCACACAGAACTGATGCTTCCTCTGTCATGTGTCATTTCAACTTGTGTTGATTATTCTTCCGTCACGTGATCGTAATGGAGATGTGATGGTTCACGGCTCTCACACCTAAATCCATGTGATCAATAAATGTAAAATTAGATTTTCTGAAGATTCTCTGAACACATAAACATTTAAATTAATTAGATGACTTAAAGTAGTTTGATCACATGATGTTTAATATTTTAGTTATTAAAATAACACAGTGTCTTCATGTTGAGATAATGCATTGTATTGACTCAGATCACAGATAGCTGATGTGATGATGCAGGAAACGTGTCATCAAGCAAAACCGCTCAGCTCAGACTGAGTCAGGTCAAGGTGTTTATTTCACAATCGTTTGGTTTTCAATCCACAAAGTGATTTTTTTTTTTTTTTTTAATTTTCCAGCATCATTTGCTGTTTGATACAGTTTCGAATTTGACTATTGATTATTTGTTTTTGCAGATAAACCTTATAAAAGAGACCGGACATTAAGCTGCCTCACCACATGGTAAAGTAACTAAAATGTTATGTGGTAAAACGTACTTGATTGGTGAAAATCTAAATCACTAGATGGAGCAATACAGATATTAGTAAAGAGACAGGGTAAGACATTTATTAACACTCAGGTTTGATTGGCAAATGAAAGTTGGGTTTTTTATGAACATTAAAGGAAAAATATGAATAAATAAAACCCAGATATTATCCTACGGATAAAGTCCTTGAGGTTCTCCCTGTTTATGACGTAGTTTTAGCATTCAGTCTATTTAACCCTAACCCTAACCCTAACCCTAGCCTTTCAACAAACCTCTACCAGGGGCATTTATTATTATTTCAATCAAAAGGCACAGATCGTTTTGCAGACCCATATAAACCCATGTAAACTGTGTTTCAGAGGATTCACACAGTTGTAGAGCGTCATGTCAACGTATCATCCGATCACCTGCTTTAACCAACGTGATATAAAATATACTCAATTATGAAGCGGCTCCTTCCCTGTTTTGGGCAGGAAACGATACAACAACCAGCTGGTTCATCTGCCATGTGAGGAGACGGTAGATAACCGAACTTGTGTCACAACAGATGCAAACGAGCTACAGAGGCAAAGACAAATGACAACACAAATCTACTCATCTTTGGGGGGGGGCTAAGCTCATTTTTATTTTTTGAACAAATAACAAAGCTACTGCCATTTTTTTTGATTAGGTCCTTTGATGTATTGAATCTTCTTACTCTCCTTTCATGCCCTTTTACTTTCTGTTGACATGGTGGTGTTTTTTTCAGTAAACTGTTCCACAGTAATCAGTTCAGTTTCAGACTGCAGGCTCGTCTCATTGATGACTGGTCTGTACAGATCAGTGGTGAAGTAATGATGCAGTTTGCCACCGACACTGCACATGGTTTACCTCTTGTGTAGTACCAGCACTAATCATACATGTAACTACACTTTGTAAATATCCTTTTGAAACTGATTTGCTTTAAACTGATCTGTATCTTTTAAATGTTCTTTATCTTTGATTTTGTTTGTGTTTTAAAAACTGACCTTTTCTAAGATTAAAAGACCTTCAACAGCTTCAAACTGACCTGAGTTACGTTGCTAAACTGCAAAACAGCTACACTTGCAAAGCTGTCCATAACACTGGAGAGGGTGTTACTTCACTGAGTGACCAGGAAGTAGAGCCCGTGCATGTGAACACACTGATGTGCACTGAACAGCCTGTTTCTCTGCCCTCTGTGCTTTGAAGTCTGTTTCACTTCTGACAAAAGTCAGAAAGTCTGTAACTACACCCACCAGTGATGTCATGCGATCCTGGGATACACCTGCATATCACTGCAGCAAGACATTAAACCAGCAGAGGTCAGCAAAGGTAAGACTTTTAGACTGTGTTCAAGCTTTCAGTCTTTAAAGCCGCTGTGTGTAGTGTTGTTTCTTTTGTTTCTTTGCAAACAAAAGCTAATGCCATTAGTATCATTCATGTGATAATAACAGGGGCTCACCTGGTAGACCAGCCTGGGCCCTTTGCTGCATGTGACTCCTCTCTGTCCCCCCAACTTCCCTGTCTCTCATTGTCCCTATCACAATAAAGGCAAAAACCTACCCAACCTAGAATCACCTCCTGGTGGTTTTCTGCCTCCTCCACTCAGACTAGTTTCAGGTCACATCCCTGTTTATCCAGAGTCATAGAAAATATGAACCGTTTCTGTGAAAATTGGTCATAATTGTTGTGAAGTCTTGAGTTATGGCTAAAAAGTGTTTTGTGAGGTCACACTGACCTTGACCTTTGACCACCAAAATCTAATCAGTTCATCCTTGAGTCCTAGTGAATGTTTTTACCAAATTGAAGATGTTCCATCAAGGTGTTACTGAGATATTGTGTCCACGAGAATGGGACAGACGGTTGGACGGACAACCTGAAAGCAATATACCTCTGGCTCTGACTGTCGCTAGTGTGGAGGAATAAAAAAAAGGGATAATAACATAATATAAGAATACAGGAGCTTTAACTCAAAGTGAGGTGGCAGATTGAACCTAAAGGTCACTTGTTACTTTGAGTTTTAACTGAAACTGGAGTTGTTGTTTATACATCATTTAAATGCCATTAAAGATCACACTGAACAAAAGTTACAAGTGACGTTACCAAGAGATAAATTGTTTTTTTTTTCCATATTATAATTCATTATTCATCCATTCATTTATTTTAAACCATTGTTTTTTTTCAATTTACTAGATGCAACAACAGTTTACAATCCCTGTCTTCAAATGTTCCATAAATTAACCCCGTTACCTGAAATAAACTCAGTTCTTGTACTTTGTTAATTCAACTCATGTTGGTTCTGTCCTGTTCAGTAGCTTCTGGACCAGACCCTTCAGTTTAATAAAGAGTGGCTTGGTTTTGTTCACAGCTCTTAGGCTCTCATGTAGACATGAGATCTATTTCTCCTGCCTCCACTCAATCAGTGATGTGTTTTCTGTTGAGCCACAGGAGGGCAGTAGACTCAGAGCTGGGTTTTGTGTGAGGTGGTGCTCAGTGTCAGAGGAGCAGCTGAGGTTCATGAAGTTGAGGTTTTGCTGTTTGTTGGGTTTCTACAGTTTTTACTTCCAGCCAACATATTGACGTAGTGAGATTTTTTCAGATGTCAACACCAAGAAATGAAAGTGTCCAGTCACCTGAATTTACAAGAAAACGTGTGTTATAGATAATCCCAGTGGAAATGTTCACTGTGGTCCAGCAGGTTATACAGAGGACTGGGGACATGTTCTGGAAACATGTTGCTGTTGAATTATCTGAGGAAGCAGCACAAACACTGGCTCATTCACCTGTTGAAATGTCTGAGACAGGTCTCACTGTCATCAAATGGAGCTGATCGGGTCAGGTGACAGGTGTGGTGAGCTTCACAGGAACTAAAACACAGACAGACAGTTCTGACTGGTGACCAGTTTTAACTGACTTTGACCAAGAAAATTCCGATGGAGAGAGACAGAATGATAGGGAGCAAAGAGCCACAGGTTGGACTCGAACCCAGACCGCTGCGGTTAGAATTACGTATCCATGGTATCCTCTGCGTGCGTGCGTGCATGCGTGCGTGCGTGTGTGTCAACTGAGCTAGTTTTCTCTACTAAAACTGACATGATAAGTGCCCTCAGGTGCGACCTGCTTTCTTACCTGTCTTGAGGAGGGACCATGTGTCACATGACCACACAGCAAATCTGGAGCCAGGTACAGCACACAACACTGGCAGTGGGATGAACGTTGCTTGATGGCACTCAGCATGGTAATTCAGCCATGATGAATATGGAATTATGAAATTCAACAGATTATTTTTTTCACAGCTCTTTGTGTGTTTAGACACATGGCTCACAGCTGTCCTCTGAACATGATGACAGTGTAAATGAAGGGTTACATGTTGAAATTCTCCGGTCAAATCTAAAGAATATATTTTCATCAAGCTTCACTTCAGGCTGCTTTTTCTTAGTTACCCTGATGAATTTTGGAGATACAAGGTTTTTACCCTGTAAGTCCACACATGTGAGTTTGTTCATTTGACTCTCACACACTCACTCACATTCACACATGTTTATTCTCTAAGTTCACACACTGATCGCCATCATCATGTAGTTGTCACAGTTAAGCTGCAAGGTTGGCTCCTCATAGTGAAAGTAGTGAGCTGTGACATAAAGGTCTCCTGAATGATTATCTAATGAAAAGCTCATTCAGATGTTTTCAGTCTCACACACAATCTTTTCTGTTCTTCTGTTCTTCTGCACTTCTGTTACTGTTCCTGACCTTTCAGCAGCTGTTCCACTTATTCATTCTCTCCAGGACTCCTCTGCCCATATGCAAATGTAATATATGTACATATATTGAATTCCTATGTATGAAATATATACATATAAAAACATATGTACGAATTATATATGGAACCTTTTAGAAATTGGAACAATTTCATATATTGACATATATGTCTAGCCCATACAAATATGTATGTTTATGTATGTATGTTTATATTGTGGACATACTGTATGTTACATAAATATATATCCATCCTAAAGCCTCTCATTATATGTTGATATTATATACAGTGAGGTCCAAAAGTCTGATACTGCGTATCCAGAATATACACTAATATTAATGAGAAATCAATAAGAAAAACATAGATAAGAATACAGAATTTTTATATGTATGTTGTTTTAATAAACTTGCACATATAAATTAAATATATGATACTTTTAATGTATGTACATATACAGATTCTACTATGGGTATTTCATATGTTATGAACTTATATCTTCATATATCCAGAGGATGTACAGTATATATGTGATAATAATATAGGTGACATACGTATATGACGGCATCACTCTTAATATAGGGACGTATACAGTATGTCATATATTATACTTTTGTATGGGTGGTGGAATTTGTAAATAAGAATGACTCTTTAACTTCATGTTTGGGAGGGTGTCTTTGTCAGCCGCACATCTTGTTTTTTCTAAAGACACAGGTGAAGAAGGGTGTTCTTATGTGATCCACTGGTCTAATCAGTGTCTCAACTCAAAACAAAAATTAAATCTAATTTCATATAAATTCCTCCTCTGGCAGTCTTACGTTTGACAATAAACCTCAGTAATCTGTTATTACCATAAATAAACTTGATGTTTGCTGGATGAACAGCACAGCCCTGCAGTTTTATGCCAGAATGTAATCACACAGATTTCATAACTAAAACACAGCATACCATCCACTGTAGTAGCCTCACAAATCCACTTTAAATCTCTCGGACTCAGTTTAGAGAGTTTTGTCTTCTGAGAATCAACCAACAAATGAATCATGAAGGGCTCATGTGACTCATCCCACTAAAAAATATAGGGGCAGATTGTTCCTGTATTTCACATATTTGTAAATGTTTTTACTCCACAGTACTTATGTCATAATGTAGTAATGAGTACTGATGGGTCACAACGTGCTGATGGCTGATGTCTCTAGTTGTCTATAATTTACTGACTGATTCTTGACTGTAACTGTAGAGGCAACAACAAAAACACACATATCAGTAAGAAACAGTGTTTGACTTCATAACAGCTGACTCAGCATTAAAGGTCAATACAGTCTAAAGGTCTCTGTCCATGTGTAGTGTGATTATAGATCAGGTCTAGCTTCTATATTAATACTGTGAAAGTATCAAAGCCTCAGTCCACAGAGAAATGTACACAGCCTGTATTCACAAACTGAGCCTTAAAACCAGCTGTCAGGACTTCTGGAACTTTGTGATGTCACAACAAAACAGTCACCGCTCTCAGCCACGCCATAAGCCCCACCCACCTGGACCCACCATCCAACATTGCAAGATTTGGATTTGCAGGAGTGTTTTCCTGAAATCTGCTGTCTTTATTGAATCACTCAGAAAAAGTCAGCCAATCATAAGAGAGGCTCAGAGCCTCCTCTCTTCTGATTGGCTCACTGACCTGTTGTTACTAGAGCTCCAGAGAGAGGCCTGAGAGAGGAGATGTAAAACTACATTGAGATGGTTTTTGGTTCTTAAAACCACAGTCTGTAACTTCTGCCTCTAGGAGTCTCTCAATCAAAACAAAAACAAAAGACGCCGTTGGGTGACATCTTGAAATAGCATGGGATCATGGGAGTTGTTTTCTTCTTCACCACCATTACCTTAAGCTCCTCCTGGTTTGGATTCCCTTCGTGTCAGCAGATCAGGAAATCCAGACCTGGTGACCTGGTGATTCTAACCGTTAAAAACACTGAATGAAGCAGTTTGACATTTAAAGTCAGAGTTTGAGCGACGCTGTACAGAGGACAGAGACTCAGGGAAGAGCTGGAGCTGAGATTGATGCTAACCTTTGTTCTGATTGTTTCTCTGATAACTTATGAACCAGATGTTCAGGAGGTTTTTACCAGCAGCTGAATTATCCACAGAGGTGTCCTCCTCTCTTCAGTGACACAGGACAGGACGTCTCCAGCAGCTGGGAGCTGAGCTGTCTAACATTTCCTCAGCTTGTTTCTCTGATAACTTCAGATCCAGACGTCCGACGACTAAAATCTTTCATCTGGTTCAAATACAGAGCTGAAAACCACCAAGGTGGAAAAAGTGTATGTGGCTTAAAACTAGATAAAAGTCAATGTTGAGCTTCTGTCAGACAAACACACTGACACATGATCATAGAGGATATGATGTCGACCAATGAAACGTTACTATGATTAAAATCGGAGATTTCTCTGGTTTGAGAATTGATGGAAACATTTGTGAAAATGTAAGAACACAACTCAACAACATATAGAACACAGGTCTAGTTGTTTTTAGATATTATAAATTACAGTTTATAACTTTAAAACCACAAATATATAATCTTAATTATCAACACTTCAAAAAAAAAACACAAAAAGGAAAATGTGGAACTTTAACATGAATGACTTGTGGTTGTGGAAGTTAACATGGCCTGACTTATTTTAAACAGGAGCTCTTTCTTGCAGGCCTGGCAGCTGATTGGATGGGTGTTGTCATGGAGATGACAGGACACGTGAACGGAGGGGGCAGAGAGGAGGTTCAGCTGGAACAGAGTTTATTTATGATGGAGAGTAGAGTGGCCTCAGCCCTGCACTGATCCCTCCTGCGTTCTCATCCAGTGCAGCTGCAGCCTCTTCACTCCCTCTGAGGTCAGATATGACAGGTTCACCCCCCCCTCTGTGAGCTGACTGTCGGGCCCTCTCTTCTGCGCGCTCCTCTGCAACCTGGATGATGGAGCTGGAGGTGGAGAGCTGCCGGCAGCGTCTGCTCGGGCTGCTCCTCCTGCTCGGCTGCGTGACTCTCCACAGCTCGGCCATCGAGACCGGTAAGACCCTTACACCTAGACCCGGACACACGGGCCGGACCCACTCCTCCCTCAGTGGCAGGAGGAGGACATGAGGTCCGGATCCTGTTGAAAGTGACGCACTTGTGTTAAGTCTGCTCCGCTGAGTGAGGTTGAAGCCTGTTCGAGTTTTAAGGTTTCTGTGTGAGCAGCAGAGAGTAGCAGTGGTCGTTCAGTAACGGCAGCCTGATTACAGCAGCATTATTTAGATATGGAACATACCTCAGTCACAGTGAGAGCTTCCGTCAGAGCTCAAATTATTTTTATTCTTGTAAAACAAAATATTTCATTTGATAGAGTGAGATGAAAATAAGTTGAACTTTTTGCCATTTGACTCTGAATACTAGTGAATATTGTAACATGATATTGAAATAATCACTGAAAGGCTATAGGCTACAGGAGTAAAATTAGAAGTATATGTTATAATAAAGATAGTAAAGGAAAATAAAATTATAGCAGTTATGAATAAAGCTGTGTTTAAGTGATGCAGAATATAAAGAGCTGTTGGTTCTGATTTCTTTTGTTTAAGATTAAAGGACCAGAGTATTAATTAGAAATCATTTGTACTTTCCATTTTACTGATCATTGCTTTTGCTTTTAAAGATTCTTTGATGTATTTTTCTGCAGTCAGATGCAGCCATTGGTTTCCACTCAAACTTAAACTTGTGTTGTGTAAGCTATCACATTAAATATTTATTTCTCTGTGTTAATATTTGTTTCGAGCCTATCGAGATATTTTTTATATCATTTCAAAATAAATTTAAACCAAATGACTCCTGGAGCAACAGACAGAATACATCTGAATTAGTAAAAACTGAGTAAAACCATAGTGATCTGATCAAGTGTTCTGATCAATGACTTAATAATAAACTAAAGAGTAGTTCAGTCAACATAGATAATAAAATATACAGTGAGATTATAGAGATTATACTGAAGTAGTTCGCACTCTATGTATCTTGTATTAAAACATGGGAATGTTGAAAATTTATGTAATTTAATTAATTTAACATTGTGAAGTTTTTGAAGTATTTAATTTCCTGGATAAGATATACAATTTCTAGATTTTATATGCATGTTATGATATATATATATATAAATACTGAGATGGTTTGTGATAGAAGCCCTGCTGTGGCCCCATTAGACCAGTTTAGTCACAGTCATTCACAGAGTTTAAAAACAGCTGAATTTTCAGCCTGTAAAAATCTTTACTGGGGACTTGGCGTCCTCTGGTCGTCCCTGTTTTGATCCGTGTCCTGAGGTTTTGTATTTACTTGTGCGGTGAAGAGGGGACAAGCGGCTTCCCACCAACAGGGGCTCCCGGGCTCTGGGACATTCCTGGAGGTCAGTGCAGGAGAATCTGGTTGTCTCCCAAGGAAACGGAGCTAATAAACTCCAGGGGTGGTCGTAAATATCCCCATTATTTGGCCGGGGGCCCGGAGCCAAGGGTGGGGGGCACTGAGTGACTGGGTGTGGGCTGCTGGATCCAGATCTGCCCACCCATCTGACCTGTCCTGACTCAAACGATCACTAGACTGACGACACGGCCATCAGCTCCTCTCTTCAGATCAAATTATTTCTACACTCAAGATTTTTTCCATTTTTTAAATTTTAAATCAAAATCTTTCATCTCTTCATCTCTATAATGTATTCCTGTCCTTTTTATTTTTTTATTCAGTTTAGTTTGTTGTTTTCATCCTTAATTCTTCCCTCAAAAAGGCAATCTGAGGAAAACAGTTTTAAGAACATAAAAAGCGGCAGTTTATTCACATGCATTTAAACATTTGTATAAAAAGACAAATGATGTCAGTGTAAAGGTAAAAAGAAGAAAAAAATACTGAAAGACACAAGAGTTAATGGCAGCGGCCAGTCCATAACTGGCATATTACGTCAAAGAGTGTTAATTATACAGAAAGGGAGGCTGATTATTTTGCAGTTTTAATAATATTGTTTATTTTGAAATAATAAAACTGTTGAAGTGCTGTTGGTTGTAGTAATTTTGTTTAATTTTACAACTTATTTAAGGCCAGTAAGATTTATGATTTAGACTGTTAGATAAACCATATGCTCATATGGCTTCAGAGGTTAATCTGACCGCATCTCAAAAATAGCATTTATTTCATTTTCTTTCATTTGAATAATTGGTTTTTCAGGTCCAAGTTGCAGCACTAATATTATCTTAAAGCTCTATATAGTCTAAAGGTAGATGTCCATGTGTTGTTTGATTATAAAGCAGGTCTAAGTTCTGTATTAATACTGTGAAAGTATCAAAGTGCTCAGTCCACAGAGAAACAGCCTGCATACAGCCTGTATTCAGAAACTGAGCCTTAAAACCAGCCTTCAGGACTTCTGGATCTTTGTGATGTCACAACAAAGCAGACATCTCTCTCAGCAACCCCCCAAGCCCCACCCACCTGGACCCACTGTCCAACATTGCAGGATTTGGTTCCTCTGAGTGTTTTCCTGAAATCTGCTATATTTTTATTGGCTCGAACGTCTCAGTATTAGGCAGTGGATCCTGAACCTGCTGGTTCTGGATCAGTCTCTTTGTCTTACTTGTAAAAGAAAAGTTACTGACGCATCTATCTGGACAACAGCCGCAGGAACAGGCTAAATTCTACTACATCACTAAAACATCTGTCGACATCATCAATCATACATTTATGCCACTTGGAGTGTTTGTCAGTACCGTTTGTCATTTGCACTAATGATACTTTTCTCTACAGACCAACATTAGATGTTACTCACCAGTCTAACAGAAAAGTTGCAGCTCGGCATCAAACATCCCTTTACCCAGTGGGAAACCCCACCATGATTCACCCGTTTTCTTCTTTTCTTTGCCATTGAACGTGGTTTCTTGTTGGAGCGGTCCTTCGTGATGGAGATAAAGATCGTTTTCTAGGCGTTTCAGGCATCTCTGCGTTTCTGTCATGCTAGTCTGGAGTTTTTCTGTTTTTTTTTTTAGTCGGGAGCTGTAGCGTAACTTCAAGCCGACTCACACAGTATCTAGTGTATCCAGGTGGTATTACAGCACGGTCCAAGGCTAGTTGGTTAGCGTGCTCATTTCAGTAGATATCTCTGAAATACAATAGCTGGAGGCCTTGGTCATGACATCATCACTGTGGCTCCTTCACATACTATTGATAGTGTGGGTTTATTTTTTTAACATTTTAAACTAAAATTCTGGCCAGAGCTTACACATTACACCTTTAAAGCTTATATGCAAGATTCAGGTTTTCTTCTTCTTCTTCTTCTTCTTCTTCTTCTTCTACTTCTTTCCAGAGACAATGATTCAAATTCAGCATGACCTTTGACCCTATTTCCTCTTTTTCACAGCTGAAATGTCCAATTACCTGAGAAACAGGCCTCTGTGCTGCACCAAGAATAATCATCTCTGTGATCAGTGATTTACTGTTAAAGAAAAGCTGATACAGTCATCAGTTTGTCTCTGAGGATGCTGTCTCTGGTGTCTTGCCCTTGTCAGTGAATGTGGTGGACTTCTGTGGCCAAATGATCCGGGGTGACGGGATGATCATCAATTCGCACCAGGAATCCAAGAAGTACTACTTTGTGACCATGGCAACCGACTGCCACCTCACCATGCAGGCCAGCTCTCCCAAAGACAAAGTCCAGTTCCACTTCCGCTTCTTCCTGGTCTACAGTTTGCTGCGAGTGGCCCCTCTGAGCCCGGCTCCCCTCTTCCCAGAGTCCCCTCGTGACTCGCCCCCCCTCAACCCAAGACTGGAGCCCACCACTGGTGAAAGCCCAGGGGACCCGTGTCATGCCGGCTCATATGTTCAGTTCTACGATGGATGGGATAGGAGCTCGCCGCCCCTCGGGCCTCCTCTCTGTGGGAAGAGCCCGCCCCGGCCAGTGCTGTCCACAGGAAACTACCTGACCCTGAGGCTGGTGACCCGGGGGACTCAGCCCAGGGTCGACTTTGTGGGGGACTTCACCTCCTTCAGACTGGGTAAGGTTAGAAAATGATTTTGGTCATTGTTAAAAGAAACCATCGCTACGTCACCTCCACCCCAGGTGAACTCAGATCTCCTTGCCTGTCATCTTCCTCTGCAGGTTTCAACCAATCAGAGTGCAGCAGCGAACCCTACTTCACCTGCAGGAATGGGAAGTGTATCCCTCTCAGTCTGGTGTGTGATGATAAAGGCATTGACAACTGTGGGGATGGAAGTGACCTGGAGGAAAATCTGACCACTGGCTGCAAAGGTCAGTCAGGTGATGAGGCGGCAGAAACACGCCGTGATCTAACGGCACCTCAACATCTCACAGCTGATCCTTCAAAATCTCACTGTAGTGTTGGAGGGAATTCTGGGATTTTGAAGCGCCATAATAATTTAAAAGGGTGCCATTATTTAATAGTTTATTTAATAGTTGACTCAAATCTGTCCTTCATCAGCAGGTCAGCTCTTACCTCCTGAACCTCCACCGCCAATAGCGACCCCACCTCCACCTTTTGTGAATCCACCCACGGAGCCGCTTGCTACACATCTGAACTGTGGCGTGCCAGACAGCGCTCCCAGCCATGAGTCAGTAACAGGTGAGTGAGTTGTATTGTAATAAATCTACGTCTACATCCGACTCTAGGCCAGAGTGACTCGCAGTGTAACACAGCGAGCTTATGTCCTGCAGGCAGCTGGTTGGTCATCAAATAAACTAAGAGCCCATTTGGATGCAAAGTGCCCTGATGACTGGGCATAAAGTTAATGGAGGTGGCAATTGAGTTGTTAATTTCAGCTAAAGACTTGATGGATTCTCACAAAGAGCAGCCTTTTGAGTAACCTGTCTCTGTTCCAGCGTCAGAGACTGTCTGGACCAGCCTGTCAGCCTCTGATTGCTTTTAAGACCCGTCTGAGTCTGAAAACAGCCTTTCTTCTGTTCTGACTGTTGCACTGAGAGAGGGAGAGGGGGATTCACATGTGACTGCTGTGCAGTTTGGCAGCTGTTTAATAGCTGAGATCCATTGGATTGGTGAACTGACAGACAGATTCTGGGAATATATACTGAGAATGTAAACAGTTGGTGGGCTCCATGCAAATCAGTATGGGAGGTTAATTTATTCCACAATAAGCGAAGCTACATCGTCTGTCAAGCTGATTAAACAGCTTTAAATGTGCAAGAAGGAAGAGTTAGTTCACTTTAAAGAGGACCTATTATGGCCATTTTCAGTATTAATCATTTCATTTTTGGTGTTGACTAAAATAGATTTACTTGCTTTAATGTTCTGAAAAGACATTTGTTTTCTTCTGCTGTACATTTTATACTGTACTCTCTTCACCCTCTGTCTGAAACGCTCTGTTAGAGCTCAGGGCTCTTTAAGGCCCCCCTCCTCCCTCTGGAGCTGGAGCACAGTGTGCTCTGATTGGTCAGCTTGCCAGCAACTACCATGGCAACGTCATGTTCCACACGTCTTGTGTAAACAAACTTCGGATGACAATATTCATAACTTGGAATATTTTTATAAGAAATCCTTTAGATTTTTGTACGGACACTTCCAGACTAAAGGAAAATAAATAATGGAGAACAGACAGACAGTGTCCACCGCTTCACCTCCTGCTGATTTATGATGCCGGTAAATCTGAATGAATTAAACTTTAGTGCTCATAGTTACTGAAAAATGAACTCAGCTGTTAAACTGTGGATAATTTATCTGAGCTGAAAGAGGTACAGCATGTCAACACCGACAAACGTTTAAGCATTTATATCTTTGCTTTGCTGCTTCTTACTGAGCCTGAATCCCCTTTTCGGCCACATCAAGTGTGAATTACAGAAATAACGGTTGTGAAAATGAAACGACTAACTGTGCGCGGTTTATGAAGCAGACCTCTTTGAAGTGCGGGCTCACACTGTAATGTTTGGAGCAATGGAGAACCGTGGAAAAATAAAGCAGATTTCTGCAGGAAATTAAGAACACTGTCTTTTCGGCATGGCTATAAAACTAATGAAAACCCTTCACCATAAGTAGTTATGTGCTGTGCCTTGTGTGGGGGCGTGCCAAGCTTGCAGGTGGACAACGCCAAGAGAAGTATTGACGTCAATAGGAGCAGGAAGTAATGGCTGGACTCCCAACGAGGCGTTTCATACAAAGGAGAAAATTGGGTTTTTACCCTGACAGAGTTTCTCCCTTTGATGTAAACTTTGATCCTTTGAACTTTGGAGACCATTTACATGCACAAAAACCTATATAACACACTGCAATGGGTGTTATGTAACACTATAATAGGTCCCCTTTAACTCTGGGCTCAGGCCCAGTGCATCTCACACTGGTTAAAGTCATGCTGATGTTTGTTCTGGTAAAACAGCACAGGGAGTTGTATTTGGTGATGTCTGGGATTTGTTGGCAGAGGTTTTTCATTCCCAGATTCAATAGTTCTAGAATAAGTCACTTATTTTCATTATTTAGACCAATGGTTCTCAAAGTGTTTCCCTTCAAGGCACAAGTTAGACCACAGACCCCCATCTGATAAGATTTTGCTTTTAGATGTTTTCTTAAAAAAGACAAAAAGGTCAGACATTGTGTTACTTATGGATGGAAATATAATGAAAATAAATGATTCCCCTTTTTGCTGGGGGGCCCCTGAAGGACCCCTGGGGGTCCCAGACCCCACTTTGAGAACCACTGATCTAAAGATCTTCTTTTGATTGGTGGAGGTGAACAGGCTAATAAAAGTCTTGGTCAAATTAGTATTGATGACAGTGAAACTTTGGACCAAAATGCATCACTGTCAATGAAACTGGTTGGATTTCCTCACAGAGACACAGTGTTCCTGTTGTGTTGACGGCTTTTATAGTTCTTTGACATGAAAATCCACCTTGTCAAATCACACACCACCTTCAGAATGCTGACTTCGAGGGAACCATAGTCCAGATGAAGGATGCCTGACCCACAAGTATTCACTACATCAAGCTTCCAGCACCATTCATTTCACATGGGAATAAATATTGTGCCATTAATGCCAGTAGCTCTTCACAGTGCTGTAAAATACATTATGACTGCATTTTCTTCAATAATGCGACTGTTGATGTTTTTTTTATTTTTCTGAACAAATCCCATTAATAGACTGAAACCAACTATGTTTTAGATTCTCAACACTTCCTGACTTCCCTGCAACATCTCTGTGTCCCAATTCAGGGGCCTATGACAGCTAGGAAGGGCCACATCCTTGTAGCTGTCAAAGACCGCGAAGGCCTCTACGGAGGATTTCTGCTTTGTATCACCAGCTGTTCCCGCCTTTAGTGTTGCGTCACAGAGCCCTGCTCCTGTTGCCTAGCAACCTGGACAACATGTAACTTTTCTTTTTACAAAAACTTGAGGTTTTAAGGCCCTTGGTTTTAACAGTTGTATCGTTAGCTGTTGAACTGAGCTGAAACCCAATACTTACATTTAACAGTGTAATCCTCCGGCTCTCTGTCTGTTGTTTGCTTTCATTACCGGCACGCAGTGAATCTTGGGATAGGTTGGTCCACGAAGGATCCAGCTGTTGGAGCCATCGTCCAGGAAAAGTAGGACGCATTTGAGGAGCCTTTGAAATGGGACAGTCTAGTCGCTCCACCGTGACACAGTCGGTCTTCAGACGCAGCCTCTGAAGGATGAGACCCTTGAACTGAGACATAGCTCATGTCTGAGGCTCCCAGCCCAAAGCACTTTGGTTCCTGCTGAAGACATAAATCTATAATTGAATTTTTTAAACAGCTGTATGTATATGTTACTCAAACAGGTAGTAAATAGTGCATTGTTGGGAACCATTTTCAGAACAGAATCGACAGCTACACATTTGATACTAGAATGGGGTGGAGGTGACGTAGCGATGCTTTAGAATATGAGAGTGGACCGAGCGCTCTCCCTGGACTTCTCTTATTTAGACAGTAGGAAGGCAGGGAGGAGCCAGAGGGGGGCAAACACAGACGAGAGCAGACCCTGGCAGATTCAACACCCATTTAATTCCACAGAAAACTGTGAAGCTGGAATCAGTCTGGACAATATTAGAACAAAAAAGGCCAGATTCAGAAAACAGGAGTGTAATTAGACAGTCGATCAAGTGGGAAAACCACCAACTCAGAAATATTTTATTTGCAGGTTGTGGTGACAGTGTACAGTCTGAACCGTTCAGTCCCTAAATGTGTCAGAAATGTTTTGGTGAATCTGATTCTATGTGGGTAGAATGTGCAGTTCTCCAGCATTATAACATAATTAAACATGGCCACTGTGTGAATAAAGAGACCTGTGTCCCGCCTCTCTCATCTCCAGACTCTCCTGCCTCTCTGTCCCTGTTGGTTCTCTACATCATCCTGGCCGTGGTGGCGGGCGGCGTGCTGCTCTGCTGGTGCTGCTGGTCACCTGGATGGTTCCTGTGGCGGGTCAGCATCTGTCGGTTCTTACCCTGCTGCAACTTGGCCTGCGCCTCCTGCCAGCTCTGCAGCCGCAGCTGTGTCCACAGCAAGGAGCACCGGCTGGCGAAAGTGACGCCGCACACACCTGTCAACGGGAGCCCGACGTGCACGGCAGCAGCCACCAACAGTGCAGAGGAAAACATTACCACGGCAACTGTTTAGAACAGAGGGGCTGTCTAGTTGATCAGATACATGGATACGCTGATGCTGAACACTTACTGCATTAGGCAGTGTAACATGACCGAGAGTCTTTTTAGTGCAGGTTGGACTGATGTGGTCCAGGACGCTGGACTGAGCAGAGCCACTGGTCCACCTGTGGTTTGTCTGCTTTAAATGTGATGAGACTGCTATGTTAATGCTGTTAGAAGAAGGAAAAGCAGGGTACAGTGTGACTACAGATTGTATGAACGTATGAATGTATCTGAAATGAGAGGATTAAGGTTCTGGGACTCACTGAAAAGAAAATTTCATTCACAGCACCTGTTTGAAGTTGTCTCTTTCATATTATGCTAGAAGCTGAAGTTTGAGATGTCCAGCCATTGAAGCTGGACCAGAGCAGACAATGAACAGTGTTAAGTTGTTAGTGTGAACAGTTTTGAGTCATGTTTTTGTTTGTTTCTTATAAACATGCTTTTCTGCTCTGTCTCAGAAGTCACAGTTTAGAAACTACACTTCAGTCCACAGCTTCGACCAAAACTCTGGAAACTGCCTCAAAAAGTTAACCGCCTGGTGACAGCAGCTGTTCTCCCCTGGAGAAATTCCTTCAGACTCTCAACGCTCCCCCACCAGTCCACTGTTGTTCCACATACTTTATAAACCAATGTGAAGTTTGGACAGTGGAGCTCAAACAGTCAACTCCGTGCAGGGAGAAACTTACCGTGTAACAGAAATCCAGGCATATTAAACTTAAATCAATAAATGATCATCAGGTCAAATAAAACTATCGAGAGTGAGAATTACTGTGGTGGAACATTAAATAAAATAATGATCATTTTCAATTGCAGTAAATTTGAAGACAAGGTGAAGAAATTATAATTATTAACTTGATATGATGAAGATATTAATCATCAAGAAAAAACAATCATTGGATTCACAAAATGATTATTTAGTAAGTGTTTGTAGTGGTTTGATTATTTATTGTCTTTCAATGTTCACTGGCCAATGTGTCAATCATAAACAGCTGGTTCCAGCCTGACTCTCCTGGTCTAACTCTGCAGCTGACTGCAGCTTGTGTGCCAGTGAAGCTCATCAGGACTTTCTACACATGAGCATTAGACTCACATGTGACTGAAACTAACAGCCTCCACTCGCTCAAGATTTTTGAGTGGTTTGCTCCCATTCAGACCAATGGGCATCAGTGAGGTCCGACACTGACGCAGGTGATCAGGTCTGGTTCAGTCTCAGTTCCAGTTGCTCCGAGAGCTGTTAGATAGGGTTGAGGTCAGGGCTTTGTGCAGGCCAGTGTAGTTCTTCTTTGTGCACAATCTGCAGCCACCAAGTTGGAGGCACACTGTTGTCTAAAATATTGTATGATGAAGGGTTCTGATTTTTTAACTTCACTGTAACCAAGGATAAAAAAACAGGAAAACAGCCCCAGACCAAAGGTACACATAAGTATGTAGTTTATTAACTTGTATCATAAAACTCAAACACAAAAAGAAAAGGAAATGAGGGCATGTTTGTCTTCTGACATGAAGTCAATCAAAATCAAAATACATGGTTGACGTCTTTCTTGCAGAGTCCTCTTTTCTCTTCCAGGCCTCAGATACAGTAAAGAGCACAGTATCTTCCTGTCCTTTTACCCAGATTGATGCTCCATGTGACGGGAAACCTGTGTCCATGTGTCCACCAGGCAAACTTTCTTTGTGGCATCCTCTAGATGGAGTAGCTCCATAACCTTTCCTCACTCTGCCACACTGTGTGTTGTGTAACCACATTTCACAGAGCCCCCTGCACCGTCTCTTTAGGTGTTTTGACTAGTGTCTTCGCTCAGACATTAGACCATATGCTTAAACAAACACTGTGATTCTGACCTCCAGGTTGCCGGGCTGCAGCAAAATGAAGCATGCAGACTTCTTTATCTGTCTCTCTTTCTGCTGAGACTGTACAGGAATGCATGTGCATCCTTACACACATCACACACACACCAAGTATAGTACACATCCACTCAGCTCACACACACACTCAGACATCCATGTGCGTCACTCTGTGGAGAAGGTCAGTGCTCCAGCTGGATGATCCTGCCAACACGACTTTTCTCACAAATGACTTTAAGCTCACATTTTTACACATTTAACTTTTTCCTCCAATCATTTTATGGCTAAATGTTGTTGTTACAGACTTTTTATTATCTGTTAATAAACAGTGTGAAAATCTGTGAAAGTCAAACATGATCTAAGTTCAGACGCCTTAAAGGAGCTATTTTGAAGTTTTTCTATTGCTACATAGTTAGCATTAGCAGCTGTTTACTAACCAGTCTAGAAGAAACGTGAGTTCAGCGTCAAACTTCATTACTTTACTATACAACAGCTGTCTCCAGAGGTGGAGACAAACATCAGTGTTAACTCTTGTCTCTGTCATGTCTTTTCTCCTACAGAAGTTAGCATGCTAACCAGCTAGCCCTGGCCCGTCTCCTCACTGTAGCCTCCAGTCTGTCCTTAAGATGTAGCTGCTCAGAGGAAGTATTATAACCTCTTATATTATAAATGCAACATTGGTTTAAGCTCTTGTCAAGTGGCCATCACCACTAACCGCTCTCAGCAAGAAACCATGTTCAGTGGCAGAGAAAACTTACACATAGCCCATTTAAAGCTGGACTAATTATATTATATTAATTGTGGACAAGATGTGTAAAATGAAAAATTCACTTGTAATGACAGATCTACAGAAAATAAACATTGCAGTTCCCCTAAATATGTTTTTGCCTCTTTTAGCTGATTGTTTTGAGCAAACAGCAGACAGACTCAGTCCGAAAGCAGCTGGTGAACATAATGGAGCATTTAGCAGCTAAAGAGGAGCTGTTGGAGACCAAACACAGAGCTAAAAGACTGGACTTGAATGCTAATGTTACTGGCTATGTAACCAGGTCACTGTTGTGTTTCCAGCTTGTTCTATTTTGCCCCGAAACGGGCAAAAAAATGTACAATAATGCAGCTTTAAAGCAGGTTCATTTTATTTTTAGATAAATGTAAATTAAAGATTTTTTGCATGATTTAATTTGTTTGAAAGGAATGACATTTATCAAATTACACCTGAAACTTTCTGAATAAAACAGAGATGTGTGTTTTCAACTAACTGTAGCATCATGTAAATAATGAAGAATAGCTTCAGTTATTAATAAGATAACAAAGAAGATTTTATTCCTTTACTCTGTTTTGTATTTTTTTTGTTTTTTTTGGACTATTCAGTGCTCACAGATTGATAACAGTGCAATTTTCGAAAAAAAAGTCATTGGTATGTACATACTGTAAAGTTTTAATAAATGCTACACATGGAAAATTTCTGAATTCCTTTGTTCCCCACACATTTTCCATAGCTGGTTGAGATTTAAGAAATAAAACAAGCTTTTCATAATGATATTATCAAATACAGTGTATTTTGGAAGTGTTTGTCACACTTGCAGATCATTTTTAGACACTGTTAAACTGTGCACAACTAAAGTGGCTCTTCATGCCACACATGGTGGGTTTGATTTAGCTCACGGTTCATACCAGGATGTGATCACGTAGTGGCCTGCAGCACTGTGCTGTCTCTGCTGCTCTTTATCTGCTTGGTTGACACTGGGGGGTGGGGTCGGGGACTTGGCAATAAGTCAGCAACTTCACACTGTGTGTTGCCTCTGGTTTCCACTGGCAACCTTTCAAGTCAAATCTCTGTTTCTGTGAAGGACAGAGAAGAACTCGTTCCCAACCCTTTTGTCACTTTGATTTGATTTTCTGTAACTGACCTGTTGACCCCTGGTTAAATTAGTGTGTTGTGCTGCCAGAGGGTTCATCATTTTGTCAAATGAGTTGACACAAGTCAACCTCTCTGTAGACACATTAATGTCAGAAAATTCTTTTCTATCTTTTTAAACAGAGAAAAAATCTCTTCAACTCTGTTTGCTCAGCTTCTTGTTTGTTACATAGACTTAAACATTGTTTATCCACCTACACAGTCTCATCAGTCTGTGACAAACGTATCTCTGCTACACAGCAGTAAACAGAACCATTAAAATGTATTAAATCCCTCTTAAACAGTAAAATCAAGGTGTAAAATAAGAAACTTTAAAGGGCACAGCAGCTGAAATTGATCCTTAATGGAATACTGTGAAGAGCTGCCTTTGTCCTAATGTTTAATAGGTGAAACACCTCCATATAATTCAGGTCATGGTCAAACTATTCTGAGACCAAAGAGTATCATATTGAATCATTGGCCTCCCACTCATGTGTGTGTGTGGCATTGTCCCATTGTGATATCTGAGCCATGCTGCTGGATCTGTGATTCACTGATAATAGATCTCCTTCCAATGCTCCCTCTGAAAAATTCAGCCCATAGTTTTAATGTGGGTTACTTGGCTGTGAGGACAACCTAATATTTTTTCAGGATGTAGTAGATGCAGCTTTGGCAGCAGTTGTAGCTCATGAATCTGTACAGACAGGTGATCTTCCTATTTTAGACAACAGCCTGCTCCTGGTAGATTTACAGATGTGTCATCACTTTCCATTTTATTGGCGGTTTGACTGTATGAGATGTTCAGTGAGCTTGTATCCATCCCCTGACTTGTGCTTTCAACCAGCTCTTTGCAGAGCTGCTTGGAGTCCTCCTTTGTCTTCATGGTGTCAGTGTTGCCACGACACTAATTCACCAATTACAATCAACTAAAACCCTTTGACTGCACACTAGTGACCTCTATTTAACTAGGCTACCAATATGACTTGTAAAACCATTTGGCTGCAAGAGTGATGATTTAGGTGAGTCATTGAGTGCTTATTTTACTTTATATTTGAAATTTATTCAGTCACTTTGTAGAGATCTGTTTTCATTTTGACCTTTAACAGTCTTTTCCTGATGCCACATTAAATTTACTTTAATTCAATGTTATAAAACAATAAAACATGAAAGGTTTTGATATTTCATAGGCACTGTAAAAGGTGCATGTCCCATTTAGAATAAGGTTTGCTACTGACCATTAGCTAAATTCCTCCTTCATGACAACTGTTTAACTCACCTGTTTACATGTTGTTAAGGCTTAAAGGGACAGTGCGGGTTATTTGATGTGGGGCTGTGTGAGGTACTCATGAATAGTCGGTTTACTCCTCACAGCCGATTCTGTTCAGCGGGCTCCAAGGTAGGAGTCGACCCAGCAGAGTGGAAGAGATGGCATAGATAGATAGATAGATAGATAGATAGATAGATAGATAGATAGATAGATAGATAGATAGATAGATGAGGTGACGAGAAGGTTTGAAATAACATTTTCATACACAGCAACATTACATAAGACTGATATTTATTGAACATGTACAGCAAACATTTAAAGCAACCAGGCTAAATAAATAAAAGGAACTGAACTAGTATGAAAAAAGGTTGTATATTTACAGCATTTGCACGTTGCATAATATTTACAACAAATGTTCCTCTCTTTGAACATAGTATGTGGGTGGAGTGGCAGTTCAGACACATCCAGATGCTTATGAACTTTTACCTTCAGGCTCTGAAGTCCTTTAAATCAGAAAATATTAACAGAATGGACTGTGTGTCTACTGTTTTGCTTGTGTTGTGTTTGTCCTTTTTAAGAATGTGAAAGAGCCCTTATGGAACAAAATTGGGTTTTATATATTTCTTGTAACTTTGATTCCTGTGAACCTGCAGACCACTGTTTGGTATAGGAGCCTTGTCCCAGTGAGGAATATGGGAGATTTCAATCAGTTTAACTTCTTAATGTTGTTTACAGCTGTAAACAGCTAACTGTGACTTCATTTATCTATTTTCCAATACAACTATTTTTCAAGTAACCTTCTTTATTGTGACATCCCTGTGTTTACAGGGCCCAGGACCCAGGGGAACCAGCTGGTGGATCCCTGCAGAACCACAAAACCATTTCTCCAATTAATCCAGTTAATGTACACTTCACTTATATTGTTACTGTGACATGATTTACATGCTCTCATGACAGTAAAAGTGAAAAAGTGTCGGGGCAGCACTTGAAGGCATCATTAATAAGCAGCACAGAATGGCAGGCAGCTCAGACACATCTCTCTCAGCTGTCTGTAAAGCTTCAGACTGTGTGCGTGTTGCACAGCTCATTGGTGTGGCAGGAGCAGCTCCCTTATAAATAACTCAAGTCACTTGGGGTCGACCTCTCTGGCTTTAGGAGGCGTGCAGCCGGTTGGCCATGCTTCGATGGCTGAGTGTGTGAATCTTGGAGAGGGTCATGCTCTGGGTCGTGGCCCCATTTTCATGGGCCTGTTCATCCACCTCCTCCTCCTCCTCCTCTTCCTCCTCCAGGCCCCCCACATTGTGTTGTATCTCAGCCTCCACAGTTCTCTGCTCCCGGGTCAACATGAGGAGCATCTCTTCATCCAGTGGCTCACCGGAGGAGAAGGGGTGACACACGGTTTCAACCAGCCCGATGATGGTCCCCAGCACTGCAAACACAGAGCCCACCAGGTAGACCTTCAGCAGACCCCGTCTGGGTTTCTGACTCAGCATTTCTTTGGCGAAGGGGATCAACTCCTGCATGTTTTCCATTTTCACTGGCTCCGCTTCAGCTCAGACTCAACACTGGCCGGGAGGATAGACCTGTTAAAAAATTTACAAAACAAATGATCAATGAGAAGCTGATAAAAAAAAATTAGACATCACTTTGGGTTCTGGGATATGATACAAAATACATTTGATAGTTCAAATTGAACTCACAGTTAAGGCTGTATGCAACTATATCAGAAAATATACTAACAGCAGTGTAATCATCCTTCACTGCGCCTAACATACAGCATATACACTTGTTACCACTAACGTTTCAGAAGAAGAAATAATAACTTACTGTGGTGCAGTTTGTTGTTTGTTCCAGTCTCATGAAGACTCGACTTCAGTTTCCAGTTTGCTGCAGGAACACACCTTCACTGGATCCTGTGCTCATTTATAGTCCCAGTCTCTCCACCCTCACTGTGACACCTCCTGAATATTCATGAAGCTCACAGACTCTGAAACCAAGCCAGAAACTTTGACCCAGTTGTGTGCGTGTGTGTGTGTGTGTGTGTGTGTGTGTGTGTGTGTGTGTGTGTGTGTAGGCTTATTACACAACTAACAGTGGCTCTAATGTTCTGACTAATATTCCATCAGGACGTCTGTAGTTTGCAGAAGTGAGTTTAAGGGACCACTGTACTGAGTTGAATGTAATAGTGTCACAGTAACTGGGATCAGGTGTGAAAACAGTATCTCCAGTAGTATCAGAATCTTCCAATGATCAGGATGTTTATCCTAAAATAAAC